CTGTCTGTGTATTTCCCCATCTATAAAATGAGAAAAACAATATCCACCTCAATGTAATACTTATGCTCAAAAGCAGTTTAGTTTTCAAGTCAACTTTCAAGTCACATCATACTGGGTAACAAGGCACCTCCGGTGGAAATGATGCCATGAGCTGCCATCCTGGTCTCTCTCCCCAGTCTCTGTCCTTTGATTCTCTCTCTGCAGCGTCCTTCAGCTTCTTTCTTCCCTCTTTCTTCTCTGCTCAGCACACCAGTCTGTCCCTTTAATGCATGAAAGTCTTTGATATTTAAGATTCGTTTTTAAATGAAGAATTAGACAGTAGATTCTAAGACTAAGTGTGTTGTTACTAATTTATACTTCAATAGAGGAGGTATAAATGAATTGAAAAAGCATTCTTTGTAAAGCAAAGTAGCTATCAGCAGCCAGAAGAAGAAAGATGAGCTGCCTCAGATGATACGCTCTTGTTTTCCACCAAAAGTAGTTAGTGCAATTGCTTGGATCCATTTCCGCTCAGAGCTACACGAGTTACCTTGACTTCCGAGGAGAACTTGCTGAGTGTAAGGTACCACCGGTACCAAAAAAGTAAACTTATTAATCACACATGCAATAGTTAGAAACCATTGAATAAATTCTAAATATTAAGATGTTTTTTCCTTTACTTTACGTGTGTCATTAAAAAACATGGCTACCAAAAAAATATATTCAGGAAATAGTTCTCCAAAGAGCTCAAAGTATTGTAGGTATTTTTTCTCTCCACCTGCGTTCAAAGACTCTGCATTTCATAGAAGGAAAGAGGCCCCTCATCCTCCTCCTGTGACCTCTCAAGGCCTTGGTGCTAGCCTTTTTTTATCTGTCCACGCTTTCTCCTTAAATGACTGGTTTTTATTGTCAGGTACATACTAAGGACTCCCGGTTTGCTATCTCCTGATCTGACTTCTCTGGATTTCAACCCCACTGCCTTCCTTTTTGTTTCTCGGGCACATCAAGCTCTTCCCTGACTCAGGAGTTTTTGCATTTGCTGGTCCCTTTTCCAGAAAGGCTGTCTCCCGCTTCAGATCTCTCTTCAAACATCACCTCCTCGGAAAGAGAGGCCTTCCCTGACCACCCCCTGGAGAGCAGTCCCCCCTCTCCCCACGCGGGGCATTGCCCCCATCACTGATTCTACATGACATCACACTGGTCATTTCTCTCACAGATTTTATCATAACAGAATATGATCTGATCAATCTATTTGCTTCAAGTCATTGTCCCTCACTAGATCGTAAGTGCTCTGAGGGCCGGAACGTTGTGAATCCTCAGCACTTAAAATGGTGTCTGACACAAGTACGGGGCTCAATAAATACTCACCAGGAGAACAAATGGATGGATGGATGAATGAGTGGAATACTTAAACATCCAGCTCATGACAACATAGCACATCAGCATTTACTTGAAACAGTCCTCAAGTTTCCCTTCCCTCCCTTCATTGACAAACCACAGAGTTCACGGGATAAGGGGCGCAAGGACAACTTTAAAAGTTATATCCATTTAAATAATAAGAAACTTAGACAGGCCTTCAAGTTACTCTTTGCTTAGAAAACTATGCTGTTATTTTATGCTAATGAGAGACAAATGGGCCAAACCGCATATCAAATTTTGATTCATATTAAACAATGTGATGTTTCCTCTACTATCTGAGACATTTATTGAATTATATTATATAAAAATGAATTTTTATTGACACTGAAAGTTGTTTTAAATTGGAATGGACAGCCATATAGGTTTAGAAAGAACTCTTTTTTTTTTTTATGTTTTTTCTTTTTTAAAAATAAGGATTCTCATCTTTTTAAATTAGTTTCATTCCAACCCAACAATTTCTCAAGGTCCCATCCTTAAAGGATCAATAATTTAACAAGAATTTTTCCAGTACCTATTACAGGTCAGAGTTTGCCAAGGTATCATGGAGATACAAAGGAAGACAAGCATTATAATCTTATTTACTTGAAATGTAAACATAGGGGGAAATTAAAAAAAGATAAGCAAGAAATAAGCAAAAAGCTTAACAGTGATTTTCTGGATAATGAGATAAGAAGTGACGGCTATTTTCTATTTTAGTATATTTTCCATCTTGTCCCCCATAGGCATGTCTTCTTTTTCAATACCATAAAAGACATGTAAGGTATTACTTCTGTCATTAAGGAGCATATCCAATATCTGAAGAGGGAAAAAAGTAACGTACAGGAAGCGAATAGAGACCATTGCACGCAAAACTGGACAGTCACCGAAAAGGAGCCCGACCAGTTATTCAGAGGAGAGATCAGAAAGACTGAGAGAAAGTTTAAGTCCTCTTTTTGTCTAAATATGACAGAAATGTAGCATCTATTGTTCTGAGAAAATTAACAAGCATAGTGAAAATAAAAGCTCAGAATTAGAGTTGATTTTTCTGGGGAAAATGACCACTTTCCAGGCAACTGATTTTTTCAGAGTTTCTGTTGATCACAATGCCAACCTGAAATGTGAACAACGTTTCTGTTTGAAATGTGGATAACCGTGGGTTCCAAACGCTGCCTCCAAACAGAAGTGATTTCAATTCTGCATAAAAAATAGCAAACAAGCTATGAACATTACAATTCAAAGGTAGAAAATGATAAAAATCAGAATCTAGCTTGCTTTTGAAAATAGAATTTTCTTGGCATTATTTGCATGTTTCCATTATTTTGCAATTGTGATTAGAGAACTTGATTAGAGGACTTTTTAAACCATAAAGGAAAAAAGAAAGTAAAAATGTCCACTGCAATATTTGCCCTCTAGACCAGAAATAGGTAGCAAGATGGACTGCTCTCAATTTAAATTAACACAAGACTCAATTAAATCATTCTTGTAATGCACAGTCGCTCAAAAGCACAGATACGCTTACGATTTTATGTATATATCCATATTTCATCAATTCTAGTATGCCATGAATTGTAAAACTCACACTTATTTTATGAACCACTAAGAAAGAAAAAAATGCTGTCAACTGAACTATAGCACATCGTCAGTTGTGAGATGAGTCCCGACAAAATATAAAAAACGTCCATTTTAGAATCAGTGAAATAGAGTATATGGTTTGTGAACATTTGATGAATGTCTGCTGCACCCACAGCTATGAGACCACACTCCATGCTTGTCTTGTTCATCATTGCATCAATGGCCAGCACTAATAAATTCTTAATAAATCCTTGAATGAATGAATGACTGAATGAGTGAGTGAATTGTAGATCTAACAGTGGAATGTGTCTTATATTCCAAATGCCTAAATGATAAATAAGAAAATGCATTTCATTTTATGTTTATTTTGTGTGTGTATGAGGAAGATTGTCCCTGAGCTAACATCTATTGCCAATCTTCCTTTTTGCTTGAGGCGTATTGTCCCTGAGCTAACATCTGTGCCAGTGTTCCTCTATTTTGTATGTGGCACACCTCCACAGCATGGCCTGATGAGCAGTGTGTAGGTCCATGCCCGGGATCCCAACCCATGAACCCTGGGCTGCTGAAGTGGAGTGTGTAAACTTAACCCCTATGCCACTGGACCTGCCCCAGGAAAACGCATTTTAAATCAGCATTAACTGCTAAATAAGTGCTGGAAAGTAACAATAATATTGTCTGACATTTATTTGGAAATGACACATCTATCTCTTTGGAAAGAAGTCCTGGAAATGAATCAATTCCGATAAAGAAGAACCACCCACTTCTATGTGAAACAGGTGAGGCCTGACTGGTAAAGCCTAAGTGAGTAATTTGAGGTGTTTAATATAACGAGTAAATTGGGTAGGGAGAGCAAGCTGTTATCACCTCCCACTCTTCTGTTTTTAAAAGACAGCCAAATTCAGACCTATGAGAGAAGCAGTTCTACGTTTTTATAGAAACCTGTAAGGGACATGTCATTCTGTCCAGGCACCATTTATTTGTTCTGTAGAAACGACATTTAACAGAAGAAAGCCATCTCTTCATCACGGTACTTGCATGAGCTTATCATGATGTGATGATTATTAAACCCACCTCTTAAATAGAAAGACGCAGTTCAAAGAAGAATTCTGTCTCTTCTCCAAGAGAAGTACCCCCTTGCCTCCTGGTGTTATTTGCTGGTCTATTTTCTCCTCTATTCTTCTGACACCTCTACCCTGCTCACTATTCCTTTGAATCGCTACCACCACCACCAAACCATCACCAAGTTCTGATACAAAGTGGTCCACAGAGCCGACTGGACCAGACTAAAAGTGTTCAAAATAGCAAGTAACAGGGAGCAGACATCCCATTCAGAATGAGATATGGGTTATACTCATATTAGCAGAGATTGCCTCCAAATTAACTCAGTAAAGAATTGTGAGTCATCTAGGTGAGTTATCATGGAACCAAGTATATGAGTTGACAGTATGAAATCCTAGGCAGCCATTGATAAAGTTAAGAAAAAACCATATGTGCTCACCTGAAAAGAAATCTGTGACACAGCCTTGATTGAAAAAAAAAAGTTGTAGACCATATGTAATGTAATTTTTAGTTTTTTAAAAAAAATATGTTTGGGCTGTGGGTATATCTGTTTAGAAAACATTATAGAAGGTAATGATGGTTGGAGGGAGGCATAGGGCTTGCCCTCCGGAGGTTTTTGTTTAGTGAGGGAGATAAGACTTGCATGTAAATAAAATTATGATACTAAGGTAGATAGCGAGAGGCATCTTAAGGGAGGATCAGATAAGGTGCCCAGAGAATCCAGAAAAGGGACTGGATTAATTCCGACTGAGAGGATCAAGGAATGGCCACAGAGGAGAGAGTGCTTTAACTGGATCTCTAAGGTGTGCATGAGGGTGTACAGAGTACGTACATTCAGAATCGACTTTAAACCAAATACTTGCCTCTAGTTCAGGGGAGTTGAGTTATGCACCCAACAATAATGTGCTACTCATAGAAAATGCATGTATACTGTATCTATATACAGATACATAGATATAAGGTGAGAGAGATGGGTATGTTTAATACACATAGTGATTTATTAATAAATGCACATTTTGAATAAGATACAGAACCTTAGAGGGACTTCAAACTCCGCAGCAGGAGATTAGTAGCATCTCCAGCCTCTCTCCACTGGATCTCAGGAGCATCTCCCCAGGCACGACAACCAAAAATGTCTCTAGACATTGCCAAATGTCCCCTGGGGGGCAAAAGAGCCATTAGTTCAGAACCCCTGGTATATGTAAAAGAAATCACTTCTGCAGGTGGATAAGAATTCTAAAGTTCACAACTGAAGTTTTCTTTTTGTATTCCTTCTTCAATGGTTCTTAACCTTACTTGGGTCAAGCAAACTTTGGCAGATCTGTTGAAAGCTGTTGACTCCCTCAATCCTCAGAAAAATGCACGTGCTTACACTGTGTCAAACATCACTTCAGGCAATTCACGCTAGGGTTCTCCTGTGAGGAGTTCTGTGTCCTGGAGCTTACAGAATTGTCGTGGTCTGTATTTTCCAGCTGGGTGGGCGACCGAAGACTGGTGTCCAGAAAGTCTGTATTTTGGAGTCTCTTCTGCTTTTACTTCAGAACACTGACAATCAGGCAAGAATCTTCCCATTTACCAAACTCTCACTCCTTTCGTCTTATCCTGCATTAGTAGTCAGTTTTAGCAAGATTCATCCTAGCAGAAGCCAAAACTCTGATGAGGTAGGATAGATCCAACTCCCCCTCACTCCCTTCTAGCCCTGATTGCTGCCTAGCCCAGCTTATTCCCTCCTTGACTGTCCAGATGAGTGAGAAGAATGATGGAAAGAATCAGAGTGTCGGTCAGGTAAGAAAGGGGGCCACATGGATGCTTGATTTTGATTGTGAAATACAATACACACACACACACACACACACACAGAAAAGTGCATAGACTATGTACCTAAAACTTAGGAATAAATTATAAACTCTCTGTAACCACCACCCACTGGGTACGTCTAAAGAAAGAATTTCTAGAAATCCAAAGCCATATTAAACACAAAACTGGCCTCTGCTCCTTTCCTGCTCCCCACCTGGTGTGAGAGCTGTGTGCCAGACCTTGGCGCTTCCTAGCTCACACAGCCTACGAGTCAAGGTCAGCGCTCCCAGCAATCGCTGACCTCTTCTTCCAGCCGGGCTCTGCTCTCTGTAGCAAACTCCCCAGGGGCTGTCTCGCCCCGGACCTCGCAGCCCGCCTCGGTAATTAGGGGGTGAGGGAGGATCCGGGCGGCCCCTGAGCGACAGCAGGTAAGCTTCTCAGCCAGTCTGGTTCGAGAACAGGAAAGAATGCGGGAGGGGTAGGATTTCTTTCCTGGTAGGATACGTGGGGAAAGACTGGGGCCTGTGTGTCCCTCTTTTCGACCAGGGTGTCTCTGTTGCTCCATAAATAAAACGTCTCCCTGCCTTCTGCGAGCGCTATAAAGGCAGCGGGACGGCCATCCCGGGGGCATTCCGGGCGGGGCACGAGCCGAAACAGGTGAGATCGCCGCTGAAGATGCAGCCCACCCCACCCCTCTCCAGCTTAACTACCCCGGAGGCATTCCTAGTTGGGGATGGGACTAGCGTGGGGCCATGGAGCGGGCGGGCAGGGGGCAGCACAGCCTTTCTGAGCAGCTGAGAGCGAGAAGGAGGCTAGGAAGTGAGGCCCGGGGAAGAGATCTGCTCCACCTGCCCAAGGTTCTGTCCCTAGGAGAGCGGCGACCCGCTGCTGGAATTTGCCTGCAGGGTGCGCAGCTTCGGGACCCCGGGAGAGTGGCCTCAGGGCCCCACGCCCGGCCCTGGGGGTCCGTGCTTGTCTCCCGGTCCGCGCCTGGGGCTGCGCCCTGGGTCGGGTGCAGCGGGAGAGGGGCGCGCACGGGGTCCCCTGCCCTCCCCGCGCGCGCCCCGGGTCCCAGCCCGGGTTTGGGGAGATTTCAGGACGCGGACAGCGCCCTGGCGGCCACCGGAGGGGACTGAGTGGAGCTCGGGGAACCCCCAGGGCTGTGGGTCCCTCCCTTCAGAGTCCGGGAGCCCCGGGCAGCAGGTGCAGGCCAGGGAGCCGAAGGTCCCCAGGTGCCCCCCTGCAGGCTGGCGGTGTGCCCCGAGCGCGGAGGGATCGGCTGCAGCAGGTGGGGCCGGGAGGCAGCGCCCAGACAGTCGTCTCTTCCTGTCCCTTCCTCCTCACCTCCTCTTCTCCTCTCTCCTCATCGTCCTGCGGCTCGAAGGTCATGGCAGCGCCGGGCGCCAGGTCGGAGCCGCCGCCGCTCCCCGAGTACAGCTGCAGCTACGTGGTGTCGCGGCCGGTCTACAGCGAGCTCGCCTTTCAGCAGCAGCACGAGCGGCGCCCGCAGGAGCGCGCGACGCTGCGGGAGAGCCTGGCCAGGGGCTGCAGGTAGCGGCCGCGGCGGGGCCGGCGCGGGGAGCCGCGGAGCCGGGCGGGCTGTCCTGCGGCGAAACGTGGATGCCCCGCCGCCCGGCGGGGACTCGGGGCCTCTACCGGAGGACAGACTCCGGCTCTCACATCCGCAAAGCTGTCCTTCCTGGTCGGACGGTGGCTCCATCATTCTCGGCTCGAATTGACTCTAGTCTCCCAAACGTATCTTTGGGGAGAGCGTGTTCCGGGGGACCCCTCTCTCTTTTTCCTCTCTGGAGGACCCGTGGAGGGCGCCTTGGGGGATAGTGCGTCTCTGTGGCCTTCTTGTGATGGTCAGGCTGAGGAGAGCGGGGAAGAAAGGGGCTCGACTGAAAAGAGATGATGGGTAAACCCACCACCTGACGAGGAGTCCTTGAAAGCCCCGAGCTCATCTAGGGAGATGCCACTCAGAGACGTGGAATGAAAGCCAGAAGGCAGGAGAGCGCTGTGCGCGCCAAGCTCTTCACAGTCAGGCAGTGGGACCCCCGGGGAGACCGCATCTCCAACGGTCCAGTCGTAACTAAATACCCCACACCAAGAGAACTAGAGAGCCATCAACTGCTGCCAGATTTTCTTTCTTTTTAAAAACCTTTCATGATAGAACATTTCACATATAAACAAAAGTCGACATAACAGTATAATGAACCCCTCTCTGTTTTTACCCATCACTCAGCTTCAACGAGGATCAGCTGAAGAGTTAATCGTGTTTCACCAATCGCCACCCACTTGCCCGCCCCCCACGATGTTTTTTGAAGCAAATCTCATATAGTGTACCTTTTTGTCTGTATATAATTCTAAGAACTCTTTTAAAAACATTTAACCACAATTCCATTATCACACTTTAGAGGAGAAAGTAATTCCTTAATATAAAACATGGAGTCAACATTAAAATTTCCAATTGTCCTATAAATATAATTAAAAAAATAATTTGTGAGAATCAGGAGTCAAATAATCTCCACCTACTGGTAATATGTTTTTTTCCTTTTATCTATAGGGTGTTGAATTTTAAAAATACTAAGTAGCAAGTTACAACAAGGTATATCATCACGTTAAGGTCTTTGTAAAAACTGCCTCCGAGCTTGTATTGCCAAAATATACAGAACATGTTTATTTTTCTTTAAAGAAAAAGAAAAGGAGTAGAAGAAGGCGCCTGGGATAGAAGTATAAAAAATTAATCTCCATTTAGAGACTCCACATTGGTCAATCTGTGGCTGGACCAGAAAATGGGTTCTTGTGTAGGGCTATTTTCTCAGAGGATTAAGAAGGTGAGAGCGGGTAGGGAGCACTTAATCCTGTGTTTTCTAGTACAGTGCATTTAAAAGGGTAGACAGAGTTCTTGGCAACAGCATGGTAAGCACTTCACTATTAGTATTTTCCACGCAATTCTCCTTCTTTTTCTAAACGGTTTTAAACATCAGCAGAATTCAGTTCAAAACTTTGTGATTTGCAATTGGTTGTGACCGAGGCTGGATTGGAAACCCAGTTTTCTTGCCTTCTGACAGTTGTTCAAGAAAGAGAACCCTTGGGGTGCTGAAGACACTCCTGCCCATCTTGGACTGGCTCCCCACATACCGGATCAAGGAATGGCTGCTTAGTGACATCATCTCAGGAGTCAGTACTGGGCTGGTGGGCACGCTGCAAGGTAAGCGGTTGGCGGACTGGCTCCAAGTGGCTGACAGTCCCGGTGTCCAGCAGCGGTTCCTAACTTCCCCTGGCTCCCTGGGGTCTGCACCAAATGCTTGCTCACCCTTCAAGGCCTTCATCTTTCCTCCAGGGCCCCTTAGTGGAGAGATATGCCTGTTTTCTCCTCTTCCTTAGGATTCTCTTCCTGAGAAACCCTGCTGCTTCTCTACCTGTGTGGCCCCACTAGAACCCCATTACCTAAGCAGTGGCCTCCCAGCTTTTATGGACCACAATTCACATTAAGAAAGATGTGTTACACCATGATCTGGACACACATCCTTCAAGCGTTGTGAAACAATACTGACCCTCGCTGCAAGGGATACACGCTAACATTTTCTGTTCTGCCCTATTCTATTCTGCTTATATTTTTAAAATGATAACTAGAGCCCATTAAATTATTTTATATCCCACAAGGGGTCTTGACCTGCAGTTTGAAACTGACTTCATAAGGGAAAGTGAAAGAAGAATTTTAGCCTGTACTACACTTGAGTGCTTTTTCTGCACCCCCCCCACCTATTTTTTTTTTTTTATCATCCCCTTATTTAATCTTGTAGAAAAATGTCCCTATATAGGTTTTTTTTTAAACTGGCTTTATGCCGTCTTTCAATGAGCATCTTGGAAATCTGTTGCCTACTTGGTGAATAGCAGCACTGGCCTTCTCCTTTGTTCTCCATCCCCATCATCTTGCTTCTGGCTTCGCCCTAACTCTACAAAGCCCCTGGACCATGAAAAGAGAAATCTCATTTATTTATTATAATTTTATGGAGCACTTGGTATGTGCCAGGCACTAGGTATGTGGACATGAATAAGATGCACCACCCGCTCTCAAGGAGTTCAGTCCAATGAGGAAATAGATAACAATTCAACATAAGGACTGTAGCAGGGGTACCATTGCCTGCTAAGGAAGTGCACCCAGGGGTGCTCAACCCAGCTTCAGGTGATCGGGAATGGTTTCCTGGAGGTTGAGTTGTCAGAACTGTTTCCCCGAAGGTTAAGTCTGAGTTTGCCAAGTGATGGCAAGTAGGGTGGGGTAGGGGTATGTGTAGAAAGAAGGCTTGACTATTTCAGAAGTTAGTAATAATTATTGAGCAATCTCACGAGCCAAAATTTGCCTGTGGAGCTCTCAGGATTACTCAGAGCAGGCCAGGAAGATTCCCACAGAGAGGGATGTGCTGTGGCCCCGGCGTGGAGCAACAGCCGGAGCGACCATGTTTTCAGTCACAAAGGTGGTTGGGAGAGAGAGGCGATGGGGCTCGCTTATGCACTTCGTGAGTTAAACAATCCAGGTGCCTGAGTGCTCTCTGACAGCAGTGACGTGGCAACACCCTGTGACTGCTGGGGGACAGGAACCATCTAATTCATGTTTGCTTAGCTAGTGCCTTGCTCAGAGACTGGCACAAAATAGATGGCCCCATAAACATTTAGTGAAGAGGGTCAAATTGCTTTCCTGATAATGAATCATCTTTATATATGAAAAAATGGTATTTCAAGTTCCATGTCTCCCAGGTTTTCATGGATGAGTATCTTATGAGAATTAATTTAAATTTCAGTTTTGTTTATTAAATCCGACACCAAGCTAAGGGCTTAGCCAGATATCTCAATTAATTCTCACAACAACTATTATTATCTCCTTTTCAATAGATGAGAAATCTACTAAATCTGGCCCAAGGTCATGGAACTGGTAGGTGGTAGAGCCGAGATTTGAACCCAGAGTCTATTCCTAGGATCTTAATTTATCTATTGTGCAGTTCCTTACTTTATGAATAATATGTTTTCTGGAAACAGTATCTCTATAAAGTTATCTTTGTAAGGTGAATTTCTGGGAGGTTCATTTGTACATTCATTCATCAATCATTCACTTAATAATACTGATAGACCAATTCTGTAAGCCAGGAGTCCAGCTATGGTGATTCAGTGGCTTATTGACAGGCACAGGTACCAACTTCGTGAGGCTCATGTTAAGTGGCAGACAGAGGAATTCAATAAATAAATAGATAAATAGAAAAATAATTACAGATTGTGATCTCCATTGTGGTGGATTAAATATGCTGTAATAGGGATTAATTTGGGGTTGGAGGGTTTATTTTAGATAGAATGGTCAAGAAAGGCCTTGCTGAAGGGGTGAAATTTAATCGGACATTGGAGGATGAGAAGGAGACAGGTATGTAATGAGCAGAAAGAAAGTGTACCAGGCGAAGGTGCAAGGGCCCTGAGGTCAATAAGAGTTCAGTATTTTCAAGGGAGGAAAGGGAAGAATTCTAGTGGGGGTGGAGTACAGTGAGGGGAGGGGAGGTGGACAGAATGAGATAAGGTTAGGTAGGGCTGGGATGGGGATGAGGAAGTGAGGCACTCACTCTCAAGGGGCCTCCTTAAATATTGCGCTCTGGGCACCTCACCGGCCTCACCCTAGTCCCGGCCCCAAGGATAGGTGTGTCAGCTTGAACCAGATCAAGCGGGAGATGACAAGAGCTACACAGATCTGAAATGTATTTTGGAGCACGAATCACTGATCTATACCAATGGATAAAGACTGGCTGAGGAGCAGGTTGGGGATGGAAAATCAAGTTTTCCTTTCGAACGTGCTAAGTCTGAGATGCACATGAGACATCTAAGTGGAGATGCCAAATACAGAATTGGAGTTACTAGAAGCCTGAAGGTCAGAGAAGAGGTCTGGGCTAGACATAAAAATCCAGAAAGCATCATCGAGGGGTGCTCTTTGAAGGAGTGGGCATGTCTGAGACTCCCCAGGGAGAAAGGGCAGATGGGGAAGAGAAGCAGGCTGGAGGAGTCAAAGGTCAGGGAGATGAGGACGGGGCCCCCAAGAAACGTGAGGAGGTTGGGCTCAGAAAGTGAGAGAAAAAGAACAACTGGAGGAATGTGGGATCAGAAGCCAAGAGATGAGGTTTTTGTTACAAAAGGATGGAAGGGCCAATAGTGTCGAATACTCTTGAGGGGAAGAGCACCGATGATGGAACACAGACAATGCTTTTAAGTTTTGTTGTGAAGCAGAGTAGAGAAATGGCTGTAACTGGAGGGAGACAAAGGATGACTGTAGAGTGAAAGGAAGACTATTTTTCTTTTAATATAGGAGATACTAGAACATATTTGTGACTAGTAGGAATGACCCAGTAGAAAGAAAGAGACCTGTGTTCAAGCGGTAGAGGAGAAACAACTAAAAGTTATGAGAAGGGGAAGTGTGGATGGGTTCAAGGTGGAAGTGGGAGAGTTTCTCCTTAAAGACAGGAGGGATATTTCCTCCATTTTCAGAGGAAGAAAGACAGACAGAACAGTGCAGATGCAGAGGTGCTCGAAATTGTGGTAAAAAGCAAATTAGGGGCATCTAATGGGTTCTACGTTTTGGATGAAGTCTAAGATTCATCTCTGAACTGCATCTGCGTGGAGAAGGGGGATGGGCAGTTTGAGGAAAATAGGGGATGTCTGAGCAGGTATCTCAGAGAGAGGAAACCCACACTTTCTGGGAAATGAAATTAGATTGCCAAGGAGTGTTGACTCCCATCTGGGGCTAGTGACCATGAATTTTTGTATGACACTGGTCAGCCCAAATGTAGATGTCTCCAGTCCAGTTTATCTAGCTGCTTCAGTGCTGTCATGGGAAAGGTGACTGTTTGGGTTCAGCCAGATTGGGGTTTTGCCAGACAAGAGGAGGGATGGAGAGAGAGAGTGAAGCATGGGAGTTCAGAGGATTGGTGAAATTCTATAGACAAGGAGGCAAGTAAAGACAGGAGGGCGCCAAGAATAGAGAGAACTTCTTGTTGCAGTAAGAATTCTGGAGGAGGTGAGCAGAAAGGTAAGTGGCTGTAGTCAGAGAGGGAGGCTCAAAATTGAGATTTCAGAGGTGGTACTGCAGTTTCTAGTGATGGCAAGGTCCTCCATATGACCACTGGCTGGCAGCTGAGGCGTGGAGGAAGAACTCGTCAGAGAGGACAGGCTCAGGTTACTGAGAAGCCAGAAATGCTAAGGATAATGGGATCTTTTGGACTTTTGTTATTAAAAAAAAAAATTCCCACCAGGCAGCAAAAAAATCAATGAAGCCCTCTTTGTGCTGTCTTTATTCACAGCTCTGGGGAGCCTACTCTCCACTTTCTACTTTTGCCTTCTAGATGCTTCCAAATGTTTGTTGGCACCACCTTCATCAGTATATGCCACCATCCTACACATGAAGGGGACCAACACAGAGATTCCATAGTTTAAATCCATGGCTGAGATTTCTTTACAAATTGTGTAATTTCAAAATTGTTGTACCAGTTTCCATTATAATAAAGATGATTACGGTATATTTGAGGAGCAGTTGTCCCTAAGTAGGACACTATATGAAAACTGAACAAGTCCCCGTTTTCCAGGTCTATAAGAACCTCAGAGCCCAGCTTAGGGAAGTGGGAGTTTGAGAAGGACTTGAAAAATTACATAGGAGGTAGACAGAGCCCCGTTCACGGCTCCTTCTTTTCTTGTCTTCCCTTTGTGGACTCACGTTTCTACTCCTTGTTCTTGGGATGACTGATTATTGCAATTCCTTATAATTTTTATACTAAAACAATTGCATCAGTAATACAGGTTTTTCTAGAATGCAAGCTCTGTAAGGGCAGAGACTTTGTTTATCCACTCTCATATTCCCTCAAACCTAGAACAGTGCCTGGCACACAGTAGGGACATAATCAATAGTTGTTCAATGAATGAATGCTCGTTATAGAAAACACACATAAAAGGAACATGAAAAAATACCTCCTCCACAAACTGGAAGTCTCCCTCTGATCCTACCATAGAGATAACGAGTAATGTTTTCATAATTATCCTACTAGACACATACGTGCGCATCTATACAAAAGTGTAAAGACATGTTTGAGGATGGTAAGCACTAACTTCAGGATAGCTTCCTTCTGAGGGTGGAGGGAGGAAAGAGGATGTGATTGAGGACAAGTACACAGAGAGTGTCAACTGCACTGGCAGTAATTTATTTCTTAAGCTGAATGTTGCATACAGGGGTGTTTATTATATTATGGTCTTTTGTATATCTGAATTACTTCATATTACATTAAAAACCTTTCCAGATTTTTTATGCATATAACACGTGTGTTTACTTTTACAAAAGTGGAAACATGCATCCTTTTCACAATTTTGAATCCTGCTTTTTCTCACTTTTTTCTTTTTCCTTTACATCTCTCCATGTTACTACGTGTATTTCTGTACATCATGTCAAGTTCATTTCATGGAATTGCAATGCATGAAGTGTAATTTAGTTATCCACTTCCTGGCTTGGAGACATTCATTCAGTGAATAATTTTGGGTGCCTCTGGGCCAGGATATTTGGTTGTTACCACTGTACTTTAGTGTTATAAATGTAATCCTCTAATAAGGACCCAAGGGTCAGAGGGCCTGATTTTTTCTCACTGAGAGGCAGTGAAATGTGGGGAGGTAATACGGAGTAAGATGGGCTGACTTCACAGCGAGAACACCTCGTTATCATCTTCCACCTCCCACGTCCATGGGGAGGTTGAGATCCTTCCACACAGCGTGGCATTCATGGACCCAGAGCTGGTGGGAAAGCCTCGTGGAGGAGTTGATCTCCCAGTGGAGCTGTCTTGCCTGCTGCTGTGTACAATTGTCACTACTTTTCTTTGTTTGGATCTAACTTCTGTTCCCCAACAAGAAAGGAGAAAGGGCAGTGTGACAATGACCGCGTCCCTCACAACACAGAGAAACACTGAATTCAGACAAAACCGTCTACGTACAAAACTGGTCTGAACCTTTGGGCTGAAGTGACAAAGTTTTTAATCAACAACTGACTTGACTTCTTTTTTCCACTCAGTGGCTCAGTGGATGATTGAATCATTGATCCATTGGGGCAGTTCGTTTGAGCAGGTGATGCGTGTGGATGCAGTCATTTTCCCAGCGGACTCGGATCATGTTCTGCACCCTAGGATGGCCGGAGACTGTGTGCAAAATAAGGAGGACACTCAGGACAAGCTGGTCATTGGGGAGATCCATGACAAGGCCTTTCTTTGTGCAGTGGAAATATACCGTAACTTTTGTTTGCGAATGTAATCGTTTGGATGTACTTCCAGGCATGGCGTACGCTCTGCTTGCTGCGGTTCCTGTTGGATACGGTCTCTACTCCGCCTTTTTTCCCATCCTGACGTACTTTATCTTTGGAACATCAAGACACATCTCAGTTGGTAATTATAAGCATGTATTACATTGCATTTATCCACGTTTAACGTATTTTGGCTATATTATGGGTATTATGCTTCCATATCTTTGTTAACATTTTCCAGGGAAACAAGGCTTTAGTGCTTGACCTGCTTTTCCTATTTGATGACTCAATAGCTCTTCTTATGGAAGAATGATTCTTTCAAAATACTGTGCCTTTAGTTAGCTCTATACTTAACTTTTGAGGAAGATGAGCCCTGAGCTAATATCCATCACCAATCCTCCTCTTTTTGCTGAGGAAGATTGGCCCTGAGCTAACATCTGTGCCCACCTTCCTGTATTTTTTGTATGTGGGATGCTGCCACAGCATGGCTCGATAAGGGGTGCATAGGTCCGCGCCCAGGATTTGAACTGGTGAACCCTGGGCTGCCGAAGCACAGTGTGTGTACTTAACCGCTATGCCACTGGGCCAGCCCCTACACTTAACTCTTTTTTTAATGAAGAAGAGAAGATTGAAAGATCATTAAAATTATAGGTTATCTTCAAACTTTAGCATGTTTTGATTTTTAAAAATGGAATAAATTTGACTCCATATTTAGAAAGTGTTCTCTTCCAAAATTAAAAACGAGGGGAAAAAAAATCTTCAAGAAGTCTTTGAACCTACTGTTTTACTAGATTAACTTAGCATTTACTAAATTATGTTCATCAGATACATATTCATTATTTCATTAAAGAGCATATTTATTTTAAGTCACTAAAATTGGAAGACCGGCAAAATCGTGCCAAAAACATTTAGAAACTAAGCTTGGCTTTCCTTCTTGGTATAGCTCAAAATAAGTTTATTTCCTGCCGTTCCTAAAATTTGAATTCTCTTTTGCTAGGATGTTCTAGTAAATGAGTGTTTAATGCTATTTTATTACTTTGACATTTATGCTTGAGATAATTTTGCGCCTACATCCATCTGCTGGCTAGACATGTCTACCTGGACGATCTTCTTGAAACAAACAGAACCCTCCATAGATCTCCGACCCATATCCTTGTCCTTAGTTGTATTTTCCCCAGTATCTGGCATATTGCCTTGTCTGTGGAAGGAGATCAGCAAGAGGTTATTGACTGAAAGAATTTCCTCACCTGGGAGAATTGATCGGTATCAAGTGCTTGACGAAGTGATTTTTTCCCCTTTGGCAGTTGGTACATTTAGACACTCCAGGTTACTGGATTTTGGTACTGAGCCCTCCCAAATGTTAAAGCATTCCATGATCGAACGATAGGATCATCATTATCATGGATAAAAATATCAGTAGTGAATGGAGCAGTTGCTGGAAGCAAAGGACTGCTTTTTAAATGTAGAATCTTACAGAGTGGCATTTGATAAGAAAAAATAATTTGTCTTGGAATGAGAAAAAAACTGTACACTCCCTTTGCTGTTTCTTTATCTCAATTTGGACCCTGTGATATTGATCAAGGTACTCAGCTCCACAGAGATCAGGGCACTGGATGCTGTAGGAAATAAGCTTGTATGGAATAAAAATAAGATGGAATGAGTAAAGACTCAGCTTGTATGCCACATCTGCTAGGAAACATTTCCTGACAACTCTCCCCCTCTCTGATACCCCCATCCTTGCTCATACATGTGAAGATTACAGAAAGATAGGTTAGACACCCCTCCTGTGTACTCACAAAGCATCCTGAATGCTGGATTATAATTCCCTACCTCCACGTCCCTCTTCCTCATTTTTGAGTCATGAATGCCTTGAAACATCTGCATTTTAGCCTCTTTTGTGAACAAACAATATTTTCTCAATCATAGCTAATTATTTCACACATCTTTCTAATCCAATGTAGACATGTTGATCCTAAATATTGATGATTAATAATTATTAATTGATAGAGACTTTTTTCCCCAGGACCTTTCCCAGTGGTCAGTTTAATGGTGGGATCTGTTGTTCTGAGCATGGCCCCCGACGAACACTTTCTCGTATCCAGCAGTAACGGAACTGCATTAAATACAACCGTGATAGACTCTGCAGCTAGAGATGCAGCAAGAGTATTGATTGCGAGCTCCCTTACTCTTTTGGTTGGAATCATACAGGTAATGGACTTACACGTAAAATATAGATGGGCATGATTTTTATTCGAAATAACTAAGTGTAAAGCATGTGGACTTAAAGATTATTTAAAAGCGAAACAAAGCAATTTACTGGACCTCCAAAGTTATTTTCTAAATTATATTGTTTTAGGTCAGATGCTAAAATAGTCAGCAAGACCCCACTTATTAAGGCTCATTTATCATCAAAGTCAGAGACAGAAAAAAAAAGCAGAAGAACATGTGTGATTCGAATGAGGATGAGGGAAGGGAAGTGTGCAAGAACCCATAAAGGAGAAAAAAGTGTTCTGGTGAGCGGAGCCACGGGACCTGAAAGTCCCGGAAATAAGCTACATGGTTTTTGCTTTTCTTATTACATATCTGGAAATACTTCGAGGTTCATATTACACATGGTTTTCAAATTTAAGAGTGGTGGATGGGAGAGATAGGGCGTTAAGTGCAGAGTTGTTTCCTACAAGCATTTTTGTGGTGTCGGCGGGCTACCAGAGTTTTGATTGGTGTTAAGTTGAATTTGTTAATAGTTCAAGAGAGTTGGTTCTTCTCCCAGACAAACAGTTAATTTTCCCTTCCTTCCTCTTGTTCTAGTTGATATTTGGAGGTTTACAGATTGGCTTCATCGTGAGGTACTTGGCAGATCCTTTGGTTGGCGGATTTACAACAGCTGCGGCCTTCCAAGTGTTGGTCTCACAGCTAAAGATCGTCCTCAATGTTTCAACCAAAAACTATAACGGAGTCCTCTCCATTATCTATGTAAGCGCTGCTTCTCACTCTGGGGATGGTTCAGCGAGACAAATGCACTCTTTTCCTCTTTAAGCTGAGTCAGCAGAGCGTATGGGCCTCCTGGGGAGCCACTGAAAACGTTCGTCTCTGAAAGAACCATAGAATCAGGAGTAACACTGAAGAAGGCAGATTTTGCAAATCACTGTTCTCAGTTGGTGAAAATGGTTTCAAAGGTGTCACCACACTTAAAAATGTTAATGGAAACCAGGTGGAACGGTAAAGTGAAGGTTGGCCTGGGATGCAGCAGGCTTGAGTTCCAGTCTCAACTTTGCCTCTGACAAGCTAGGTGACCTTAGACACATCATGTAGGATAGTGGCTGAAAGCTCAGGTTTGGAGCTGGAGGACCTGGATTCACATCCTGATTCTATTTACTAGTCATTCGAGCAAATCACCATGCCTCAGTTTCCTTCTCTGCAAAATGCAGTTGGTATTAATATCCACCAATTAAGTTAAATAAGGATATATGAGAAGCATTTGACCCAGAGGCTGGCACGTAACATGTACTCAAAAAAGTAGTTATTTAAAAATTATTATTTCACATCTCAAAGCTTCTTTTCTTTTTTATTTATAAAATAAAATGATTGGAGGTGTATCTCTAGAGCCCTCACTCTGAGAGTCCACAAAATGCATAATGTAAATGTCTCAGCAATTATAGATGAAAAGGAACATGAGATTCAGAGATGATTCAACATGCAAAAGAGATGCAAGAGAAGGGTGTAGATCACACTAATTAGATTTGAAAAAGTTCTTGGATCTGAATATATGTTCTATATAAAACATGTTATTGATGCTTGGAAAATGGTGATAATGGTAACATGATGTCACCCTAGCTCGGGGGGAATGATACTGTGCAAAAATAACGTGCAAGCATTAAGAATGGAATTTGAGTCCTTTAATGACCCATGTATTAGCTTCTCAAACAATGTAAGGCCATGCGTACATATCTAAAATATCTAGTACATATCTAGTGAGGTAGTCAGGACTTTCTTCAGTTTCACAACAGTGCCATAATCCCACATTACTCCATCCATTCAAAAAATATTACCATGTCTATTACAGGCCAGGTACTATGCTAAGCAGTGGGAATAGGTAGGGGAGGTAGTATAACACAGTGATTAAGATCATGGACTTTGACTTCCATAGACTTGAGTTGGAGTCTTGGTCCCACCACCTACTACCCGTGAGGTTTTAGGAATGTGATATTTAACTTCTCTAAGCCTCAGTGTCCTCAGTTGTAAAATGGTGGTAATAATAGTAGCTGCCTCTTAGAATTGTGAGGATTAAAAGAGGCAATTTGTATAAAGCACTTAGCACGATATCTGGCTCACTCAGTTTTTTTATTATTATTTTCATTATCACGATGCAGAGGCCTCATAGAGTTTACTGTTCACTTCCCAAGGACGCAGCCTATTAGAAAACATCAGCACAGGCTGTTTCTTGATTTAGCATTATTTTTGCCATTGTTGCTTTTTTTCCTTCCAAGTCCTTGGTTTGCTAGAAACTTTCTGACTGCCTTTTTCTGACGGGCCCTGTCACTTTTGCAGTCCCTGACACATCTTGCTTTTTCTTGCTTTTACACTTTCCCCTCAACTATTCATTCATTTATCCCTTCATTGTCATTCATTCAATTCATCTATTCAGTAAGTATTTATTGACTCCCTACTATGTGCTGGGCACTCTTCACTCCCTATACAAGCCCACCGACCTGTGAACCCACCAAGACATCCCTCACCAAGTGTACTCACCTCCTTGTGTGAACATTGCTAGGCCTGCATTCACACAGATCACAGAAGGCCAGAACAATGGTTACCCTGTGCCCCTGGCCATTGCTGGACCTCTGCAGACAGGAGACTGAAACAGTTCTTCTGGGCTTCCAGGACTATGTGTAAGATGAGGCTTGCTGCAAATGACCCCACTGTCAACCGGGACAAAAGTAACCAGGACACACTAGAACAAGGTCAAAAATAGTTTTTAAGCCAGACACAATCATTATGTGACTTATGTCCTGTTGAACATTATTCTTGACGTCTCAGATTACAATATGTCATAGAATTTTGCAAGAATTTTCTCTCAGGCCAGCCAAGTTGGGTGGAGATATTTCAATCATCCCTGTGTGATAGTAAATATAAGCTTCCCCTTCTGAAAAGAAAGAGTCAGCAGGTCTTGAAATGATGGCAGAAGGGTTGAATGAGCCACTCAGTACCTGAACAGAGAATTTTGCGTATGACATTATCAGTTGTAATCATTCATGAAAGAATCCTTCAACAAAGGCAGACTAGCAGTGGATTCCTCCAGGAAGGACTGTTGTAAGATGCTTTCCCTGGAATGTAGTTAACTTAACACCCCTTTTGTTGTAAGGCTGTACTTTGGATTGTCTCTCTCTCCCTGCCCCCCAAAAGGAAGTAATGAATACAAAGAACTGGAGGAGGAAACATTGGGAAAGAATGAAAAATAAAAACTTCATTCACAAATACAGAGATGCTGCGTATAGGATGCAGAAGGTAGAATGACACAGTGTTGGCAGAATTCGGAATTAGTAATACTCTTCATGCTACCATCAATTATATGTGTAAATCACACAGTCCATTTCAGAGTGATTACGTTTTCCTGCCATTTGCTTTGAATGGTTTGTCTCAATAGACAAGGAAGCCTTTCTGCTTGCTCACTAAATTGATGCTACCTCCCCATTTCTTCTCATAAGGAGGAAGACCACATTGATATGTTCTGCTCAGATGGTGACACTTTTGAAAGCCACCACTAAGCTTGATCAGGTTCATTACTTTGAATCTATTTAAGTATGTAAAAATTAAGCCATTATAATGAGGAAAGTAACACTTCAAGGACTGATCTATATATGCACAAAAGTTCTGGTAGGAGGAAATACTTACAGCAAGGAGTGGCTACGAAAGGTTTGTTATATTCAAAGAGATAAGATGAATTAAGATAAATTTGGCTCCAAAAGTTAACTGATAAATTTCCTCATACAGAATAATAATATCGGGTATAATTTTTTCTTCGTGGCTTCATATACCCAGGTAATGCGGGGCAAAAATGAAGAAGTCATCTAAAGGAAAGAGTCCTAAAATTCTCCAAGCAGAATTGGGAATATAGTAAAATATTATCCTTTACTGTAAAGCTCGTTATTGTGATTTGAACTATTCAGAACATGAGGCTGGATATGGAATCATACACTTATCTATATTTTAAGCATATTTTACTAGTAAACTAAGTGAGAATTACTTTTCAGTGCTTTCTTAGAGTCTCATTCCTCTATCTTTGAGTACAGCCTGACTACTTCCATTTATATGGGCGAGTGTTCTTTCTACACAGGTTCAGCTTTCTATTGTAGAACTTTCCAGAAGAGATCCTGGATGATTACTCAATATATGGGCAACTAATAGATTCATCTGCCTTGATTGATGCAATCATGTAATATAAACTCATTTTGTTTTTTGGAACTCATATTACATCTTTAATACACCAGTGGTGATTTTTATTAAAAGGTCTAAGTGACTCTCATAGATTAAACAGGAGTCTAGTGGTGATCCCTTTTGGAGAGTAAAAATGTTTTTATGATTGGGGTAATTATTCTGATTGTTTTAGAGTAAACCTTTATTGTATAGACAATCAAAATATTATATGTAGTTCATAAGTTAGTGAGAGTCATCATCAAAAAATTGATTATGTAAAAGTCCAGACAGCAATACCTTCAGGACTCTGAGCTATGCAGGGCTGTTTATTTCTCTGGTAGATCCCTAAGTTCTTGAGTTATTGTGCCTGCTTGTGGTAGTTTCTCCATTTTTTCTTTTTCATTACTTGCTCCATCTTGTGACTCTTAGTGTATCTGCCTCTAGCACTTATTCCTGACTCTTGAAAGCAGACAAAGTAAACTCAGTATTGGATTTAAAGCAAGAGCAAAAATACTCTCTGAGTGAAAGTCCAAGAGGCTTCCTATCGTCAAATGCTTGAACTCTGGCTCAAGCGCTTGGTGGAATGTATTCTGCTTGCACAATAACTTCCCCTCTCATTCTCTTACTCTTGAATGTTTTCTAGAGAGTTGAGGTTGCTGGCAAAATCACTCCAAGATTACTTAATGTTCATTACACATAATTGTTACTGAATTGCCATAATTGCCAATAATTATTTTAAGTATAGTTGATCTATAAAAATAAGTAAGCTACATGTTATAAACTACAAGATGCTCCATTCTTTTATCTTCATATAAAAATATTTCTATAAAAGGACTCATTCAAAGAAAAGTGACCTCACTGGGAGATTACTTGCCTCAAAGAATTGAGGAATACCTTCTTAGGTAATGCCTTCTACAGGCTTGAAGTCCCTATAGCAAAGATACTAGTGCTGTTTCCTGGGATTCCCCCTTGTTAATCTACAGTGATTCCAGGAAACCTATTTACAACACAAAACTAGTTTTTCCTGAGCTGACGTGTCTGTCCACCTGGAAAGAGTTCCTTTCATTTAAGCCATCTTAGTTCAAGTATGAACTAAGTCCCAAATTAATTTCCTAAAATGTATACTTGACATATACATCAATTTAATAGCTTTTCTTTGCTATAAAGAATGGATCAGTCCATATGTATCTATATATGAAGTATTTTAGGTATCTTTATTATAACCTGTATCATTCAGGTTTAGAGAAGAGCTTTACCTAAAATACTGGCTAACTGGGACTTTTTGGTTTACTAGCCGTTCGTCTCAATAATATCATAATCAACATGGCGAAAATTAGGCCACTTAGCAGCACCTGTAAAACCACTTTAAGTTTAAAAGAACTTTTAAAGCTTTTCTGCAAGTAAAGGACAGTATATAGTGATATTTTTTCTTTTAAAAGATTTCATTTTTTATTGTAAAAAATACAGATAAGCAAAAATAAGAAAGCAGAAATCACCCATAGTTTTACCACTCCAAATTAACCCTCATTAATAACTTGATATATTATTTATGTGCTGTTTGCTGATGATATCATAATTTTTCATAAGAGAAGTATATAAAATTTTCTTTTTACAGACTCTGATTGAGATTTTTCAAAATATTGGTAGCACCAATCTTGCTGATTTCATTGCTGGATTACTCACCATTATCATCTGTATGGCAGTTAAGGAAGTAAATGATCGATTTAAACACAAAATCCCAGTCCCTATTCCTATAGAAGTAATCGTGGTAAGTAGAATATGTAATTATAAAATTCAGCATTAATTAGTTTGACAAGGAAGGAATTGTTACAACAAATGGATCTTTTTTTACGTCTTTTGTTTTATTTCAGACAATAATTGCTACTGGCATTTCATATGGAGTCAACCTGGAAAAACATTACAATGCTGGCATTGTTAAATCCATCCCTAGGGGGTGAGTATGGCATTACTCTCAGGCAATACTAATATATTAAGTTAGTATTTATTTTAATGAAACTGTTTATTACAAGCTTCATTTCACTGGTACTCCTTCAATAGTCTTATTTGTGTGTGATCTTAATGAAACACACATTTGTGCAAACTATTGGATAAACAGTATATGTGTAGATAAAGCTCCAGTGATTTGTTCAAAAGCAGCCCCTATATGCTCTCTCTTTTTTCTTCATTTTCTTAAACCATGGCAGGACCTGTACAGCAGACTCTTGATTTAAATTCATAGTATGATTACAATATACTATAAATAGAATCCTGGGTTGTAACATTTATTACACTGAGAACAATCCAATTAAGGAATAAGGAACATCTGGCCTAACTTCTCCACCATTTAATCAATATTAGGTAATAATTATATCATTTGTTCCTATAAATAAAATGAATTATCAGGGCTGGCCTGGTGGCGCAGCAGTTGAGTTGGCACGTTCCACTTTGGCAGCCCAGGGTTTGCCGGTTTGGATCCCAGGTGTGGCCCTACACACCGCTTGTCAAGCCATGCTGCGGCAGGTGTCCCACATATAAAGTAGAGGAAGATGGGCACGGATGTTAGCTCAGGGCCAGTCTTCTTCAGCAAAAAGAGGAGGATTGGCTGCAGATGTTAGCTCAGGGAGAATCTTCCTCAAAAATAAATAAATAAAATAAATTATCTTCAAGGGAGGTTTTATATATGTTTGGTAGTTTGGTGAATTAGAAGAGTAAAGATCTAAGGTCCTTTGTCCATCTCGGTCACCACCCACTTCTGTGGCCATGGGGGGTGTTCTCCTGTAAAATAAATGTAATGACAAAAGTCAAAATCTCAACTCTCTCTTGTTGTGAAAGGCCAATGAGATGGCTCATAAAATGCACAGAGGGGACCAAGTGCCCTACAGTATGATTTTATCATGTGGCGTTCAAAAGAAGCCCAGATGCTCACTAGCTTTGTAACATTAACTTATGGCGTTTATGACTAGATTTGCTGTTAGATAACCAATAAGTACTAGTTTCCCGTCCCTTCATGCTAGCTGAGGGACTTTCTACCCATCTTTGTTTCTCCATGCTTTTAGTAGAAACTCCTCAGGCTAGCTAAGTCCTGGTGCTGATTCCACAGGGAACCACTGCCTTTCTACTTGATTAATCTTAGGATTTCTTCCAGGATATGTTCAAAAAATATTTGAAAAATTACAGCTGGCTACTGGGGACTTAATTTGCATATTATCCATTCTAGTGTTTCTCAAACTTATCTTTTTGTGAGAATCACCTGAGATCCTTGTTAACACAGATTCCTGGTTCCCACCCAAACCTGTTGAATCAGGCTTTCCAGAGGAGGGGCCTGGAGTTAATATTTTCCAAAGGTGCTTCAAGTGATTCTTCTGATCATGTAGATCTGGGAAACTCTACGTTAGAGGATTCACATTTTGATAGTGAATCCTAATGCTGGAAGAAATTTAAGGATAAAAGATGCAGTGTGGCTACTTGAGTTATGGCGTTTTCACCATAATAAGTAGATTGAGTAGTTATAAACAACTGCATAAAAACATGCATTTTATAGATCCCTTTTCACAGGGTTTCTAAGGTGTAACACTTAGAGGTGGTCCACAGCAAATGCTCTGACCCATAATCCATGTTCCATTCATAGATTTAGGGAACTCATTTTTGCAGCCCTAAGTTATCCTTTCTGGCCCTTCCGGAGCTTTCCTGGCTGCTCTCCTCCTGAGAATGGATCTCTAGCCTCTTGCTCTGGGGTTTGGTCAAGTTGAGTCCTCTGACAGACCACCTGGTGTGATCGGTCAGCTAGCCTAACCTGTCTGGCCCTGATCTATACTCTCCTCCACGAGGGCAGGAAGCCTGTTTGTCTTGTTCAGCTCTGTCTTCCTAACACAGGACCTCTCCCATAGTAGAATCTCAGAAAATATTTGTTGAAGGGACAGAATACCCAAGCCTACGCCATTATAAACAAGGCAAAGAATGGCCTTTACTGTCCGATCTCACGTGGTAGCACAGAAGCAAGTCTAATGACATTAACAAACCTGAAAAAGAGGGTGGCGTGGAGAGATTGGAAAAGAGCAAGGGAAGTAGAGTGTTAAAGGTGAGCACGAGGAAAGGCAGAGGAACAAGGAGAAAGATTGTGCTCACCCACCTCTTCACCCCCTCCGCACTTCAGTCCTTCAAGGAGGGAGTAGAAGCAAGGCTAGGTGTTACCAACTTCCTTTTACCCTCTTGAGGCTCAATGCCATATGTTAGGATCCTTCTGTCCCCAGTAACGTTGTCCCATTGGACAGCCAAAACGGTCACTCCATGCTCTTCTCTCCCATTCCTTTTCCTAGCCAAATATACAATTTCCGCATGTCCAGATAGCATCTGAGTCCCACCAGGATTCACCCAAACCAGCGGCCCTCATTTTCTCACTAGGGCTTTTTCTTAACCAGCAGACTTTAAAAGGGCTGTCCCCACATGCCTTTCTTCTCACGCAACTGATCTTTATCCTGCAGCTCTTAATGTGTTATCACAACCTAGGCTTCCCTTTTACCTCTTCTGTCATCATTTTTTTAACCCATATGAACAAGATGGACTGCTTTCTCCTCTAAGTTTTAATCCCTACTCTCTCTCCTGCCTCATCTCTGAGCACACCAGTGACCAGTCCCCTCCTTGCTAGTGCCGGAGGTCCCCTTTGTCATCAAGCTTGTTACCACTGTGTTTAAAGTGATGTGCTTTACACTTGTCCTTGGAAGCATGACTCAGGGGGAACAGTGGGGCAAGGCCAACAAAATCACAGAGGTTCTCTCCTGGCTGATTTTCCCTGTTGCTAGAGTGGTGGTGCATTTGCCAAATGTTCAGAGCCAACCTGAAGTAGAAATGTGCAGTTAGCATCGTGTTTCTCAGGCCTGGCTCTCCTTGATGGGTCCCTTGGCCCTTCAGGGATTCACGGCTTCCTACCCTCATCTTTTCAGAAAAGTGTGCCTTTGCACTCTCACACACTTTGGTAGGGTTATCTCATGATCAGGCCGGACAGGGAAGGGTTGGCTGCAGCCAAACAGGGCCACTGAGTGAGCATAAAATTTGCAAAGAGTTATGTCCACTGGAGGAGGGCAGGAGCTGGGGAAAAGGCTTACTCGGAGGTCATTAGAAGAATGGTCATTAGAAGAATTGGCTTCATTAAGATGCAGCAAGATAATACAAATGGGTGTAGGAGTGTGGCAGACTTAGGCTCTCCCAACATTTGCTGAGTACCTACTATGTGTGTAGGCACTAATTACTTGCACATATCATACCTCATTTAATCCTTCCAACAACCCTATGAGAAGAGCGTATAGTCCCCATTTGAGAGCTGAAGAAACTGGGTCTTGGTGGGTTTAAGTAAAATGCCTGAAGTCGTAAAGTTACTTACAGAGGGATGGAGCCAGCGCTCAGATCCTCTGATTGCAGGACTGGAAAGTTCTCCTAACAGACCCCATTACCTGAAGTAGGGTTGACTGGGTCTCAGGAACAAGTAAGAAGCCTGGGTTTAAGCAGTGAGGTCCAAGGTCCCATCCAGACCAGCAGAGACGTGATGCTGAGTCCGCAGCCTACAGCAGACAGGATGCAGTCCCAAGCCTACGTGTGGGTTAAGATGAGATGTGGGAGCAAAGGAGGCTGAAAATTCATCTCACCTGTGGGGAGAAAAAGGCTACAAGGGCAGAGAACCAGACAGATCTTGTTACCTAGGAAATCATCGAATATCTAACATTCATACCTGGACCCACTACATGACCTTGAGCAAGCCACTTCACTTCTCTGGGCCTCAGTTCCCTTATCAACAGAATGAGAGAGGGAGATTCAACCATTTCTAGGATATTAGATTAGGATATTAATTTGAATAATATTAGGATATCAGCTAGCTCTAAATTTCTATAGTTTTCTATAAGAATCTTATTTCTACTTTACCATTTCCTTCAAATTATAGGGGAAATCACGTAGTTTCCTATTAAAGGAACTTCAGGCGTGAGTGAAGCAGGTGGGAGATATCGGTGTTTTGTTTTTTTTTCTTGGCTAGAGACCTCTGGAATTACATCATATGCATAGTCTTCAAGATTAGGTACATGAAAGTCATTCCTCAAATTTTCATATTTGGGGACAACCACATGCTTATCAACTTGTAGGTTTTTTTCTTTACGTGGTTTGTAGAGTAGCTCTGGTTTTGTCAAACAGTAGTCATCTGGCCTCACAATCACTGGGATGTCTTAGTCATTGTGACTACAGAGCATTCTGATAAGTACACAAATTTAATCTTTTTTAGATTCAAGAAGATTTTAAATATCAGCATTCTTAAGATAGAGATTTTCCACTTAGCTCTTTTAACATCTTATATTGTCTCTTTAACAGACCTGCCATCTCTTCAGACAGGGTAAATCTCCTTTTATAGCTAGGATAGCTTCAATTCAAAGACCTTTAAGGTGAAATTGTGTAAGGAGAAATGCTAATGTGTGAAATGGCATGGCACGGGGGTTGTCTGATGTTAAAGAATCAGAAATGGCAGATTTATTCACGTCGGAGGGAGAGAGGAAGCAGCATTTGTAGGCCCTCAAATAGAGGATAAAGAAATCAGCCAGTGAGATAGCACCAACTTCTGAATAAAAATGGTAAAAGCGGATGCCACCACTTACCCACCTCCTGTGCTTGTTTTCCTCTTGGATGAAGTCCTTCATGTCTGACATGTGGCTGGGTTGATACAGAATTTGGGGAGGTGGGAAAACAGAATTGTGGTCAAATCTTCACAGCATTTTTCCTTTAAAAATTCACTAGGTTTTTGCCTCCTGTCCTTCCACCTGTGAGCTTGTTTTCTCAGATGCTGGCTGCATCATTTTCCATTGCGGTGGTGGCTTATGCTATTGCGGTGTCTGTAGGAAAAGTCTATGCCGTCAAGTATGATTACACCATCGACGGGAACCAGGTATGGTACCCCCTTCACTGAACTGGTTTTGTAGGGCTGAAGATAAAAAAAAAAATCATAAATGGGAAAGATTTTGTTGTCTGCTAAAGAAGGGATGGGTTTCTCCACCAGTCCTTACTGAGTTGGTGTCCCTCTTGTGCGTACTAATTTGAAATTATTTTGAAATATACATGCTGCATCACTTTACTTTTCAAGAAATAAGTTGAAATCATCCTAATTTCAAAAGAGTTCGTTCAGTCAGGTCATAAATGACATTCAAAGTTAACAGGTCAGAATAAGAATTCTTCATGTAATCCAGTATCTCCTGATAATTTTTTTAAATAGTAGCTGTAATATGGCAAATCTGTGCAACAAACACCATCGATAATAGTTGTGGCCATTTTAAATTGAGGTGGTTCACTGTGCAATTAATATCTGGAAGACAGTCTTTGTAGGTGTATGATGCATTGTCAGGCGAGCTGATTTTACGCTGTTCGCAAATCTCCAAGTGTGGTATGTTTCTGAAAACACAGCCTAGCAATTATGGCAGTTAAGTGTTTAGTAATCAAGCAGAATAATAGCTCTCCCAGTCATGATATGCTTCACAGCAAATGTCCAACCAAAGAAAAATGCTTAATGCGAGAGCTACAGATAACGCCACTCACCAGGAAGCGAAGGAAGCATTTTAGCAAAAGACCAGTTACTACTTCTTGTCAACCTTGAAAACGATTGAGAGCAGTTAGGCCTCTCTTAGGGTCTATGGAACCCAAACTCCTGACATCTTTCAAGGTCCCCAAGCACCTTCAATGGTGAAAATTAAATTGGGATTACCAGGCAGGATGAGTTTGTGAGATTGCTTTCCTAATGATCTTCCTTAAACACTTGGTGAGGGTCTTGCAAAGACTGTATTTGTAGCATCACTGCCATCCAGTCTCTGCCTTAGGAATTCGTTGCCTTTGGGATCAGCAACATCTTCTCGGGATTCTTCTCTTGTTTTGTGGCCACCACTGCCCTGTCCCGCACTGCTGTCCAGGAGAGCACTGGGGGAAAGACACAGGTATGCAGCAACAGCGTGGTAAGACCTATCTTTGCAAAGAATGAGGCGGGGAGAGGAGGCTCCGAAAGCCTTGCACAAGAATGGAGCAGGACAATTAGCCTTTGAGAAGCAAGAGACTTGTGCTTCCTGCTCTGATTCCACCCGGGGCCTAATCATCTTGATCCACTCCCTCACTGAAAACCCCTCAAACAACAACCTTTACGGGTTTCTGACGCGCGGCAATTCTCAAATCTCTTTGTGTCAGTACTCAGCTGGCAGGTAGCTACACTTACCTGCTTTTCCAGGGACAATAACAACTGACAAGGGATCAGTAAGGAAGAATGCTGATTTTTATCATCTGTTATCTGGGGACAGAGAAGGCCTAGTGAAAGCACCTCATGGCTTAGTGAGTTATTATAATTTCAGGAAAATGAAAAGCGCCTATTTACACTTCCTTTACAAGGATCAGGAACTTCCTTTTGGTCCCACAGAACAACAGTTTGCTAGCCAAGAATATTTTTGTTGTAACATTTTGGCATTTCTTCCTGAGTAAGATTTTTGTTTCTGAGGTTCTGAATGTGGGTTTGATCTTGCCCTTTCAACGTGGTTTTAAGTTGTTGCCTTCACAAGGTGACCCCAAAGCCAGGATCCCAGTTAATCTCTGGATAACCCCTCCTTCAGTCAGCCAGAAGGCTCAGAAGCCATTCTCAAAGGGCATCGTTTCCAGCCAGACATGGAGACAGACACGCCAGATGAACTGGATGGGGCAAGGGCAGTGTCAGCTATGCCTGGAGGGTTTCCTCCTCCCAACGCAGACAGAGCTGTTAAGTAAGAGGAAAAAGTGCATTGAGACTATAAGAACAACAAACTTAAAGTAAATAGTTCAACACAGACACACAGAGTCTTCAAATAGGGGTTTATTAAGGCAGAGACACTTATATAAGTAAGCATAAGAGAATAACTGAGAAAACTGACAACTCCAGCAGTGGCTTACCCAGGAAAAGCTTGAATTGTCCCCAAGGTGCACCTGATTCTCCTTTCTCTCTCTCTCTTTTTTTTTTTTTGTGGAAGATTAGCCCTGAGCTAACTACTGCCAATCCTCCTCTTTTTGCTGAGGAAGACTGGCCCTGAGCTAAAACATCCATGCCCATCTTCCTCTACTTTATACGTGGGACGCCTACCACATCATGGCTTTTGCCAAGTGATGCCATGTCTGCACCCTGGATCCGAACTGGTGAACCCTGGGCCACCGAGAAGCAGAAGATGTGACCTTAACCGCTGCCCCACTGGGCTGGCCCTCCTTTCTCATTTTTAATGGATCTCTGTGACAGGGTTGGAAGAATTGGCCTCTTCCAATTCCTTCGTTCCTGTTGAACAAAAATTTCATTTTGATTTTCAGAATTTTTCTTTTTAAAATTGAGTTTATATTTTGTTTTTTGTTTTGCAAACATCTCCAGCCCTGAGGGAGCAAGAAGCATAACTAGAGATCTGTGGTCAAGAGGAAAGGTCAGAGGTCATTTCCAAAGTTGCCCTGTCAGCAATTGTCAGCAGCAAGTTCAGGGGGCAGCTGTCAGCAGCAGGAGTTTCGGCTGCTTTCATTTGAGACGGGCATTGACAAGCTCTACAGGGCACATGGCCGTAAATGGGTGCAGACAGATCCCCCACGGCTGATGTCCGCTTTCCTGCTATTACCTCCAGGCTCAAATGAGGCACGGGCTGGCCCCAATAAAAATGCCCATGTAAAGTGATTCCTTGGCAGAAGTTTTGGGGATAATGGTGTTCTGGTAAGCTAATACCCCCTGCCACACACTGGCATGTATTATATTTAGGAATGAAGGATGCCAGGATTTCAGTATTGAAGAATGAAACGAGCACAGAAATGGCTTGATATTTAATTCCTGAAAAGTATACTGAGTTCTGGGGTTAAAAGTCTAAGTGCCTGGACTGAAATCCAGGGACCCACGACCACGTAAACCGGCAGGTCATCCCTCGTCGTGTAGCTTCTCCTGCTTTCTTTGATGTTGGAGCCACAGTTTCAGCATCTACACAATGGGGATAATAATTGTGTCTACCTCACAGGGATGTTGTGGGGATTCAATAAGCAAGTCCTGGCACATACTTGTAAATGCTCTTGTTCTGGTCATTAGCTCCTCAGGACAGGAACAGTGACTTAGTCCCTGTGATGCATGTATCGTGCCTGACACATTAGAAGCGCCCAGCACATATTTGCAGAAGGAATCGACAGAAGAGTGGTCAGCACATCTACAGATTGTGGAAGAGCTGATCATTACAACCTCTTCTCCTCACCCCCATCTGACTCCTACTGATTCACGAAAAAGTCATTCCGAACACAAACTATTCTCTAGCTCTGACTGCTCTCTCACTTAACAGAATAATTAATTTTCTAGTAATTTAAATCTGCTCACAGATATAAAATCTACAGCATTTTGCACAAACCAGCCTTCTAAAGTAAGTACAAGTAGTGGGTTGCTCACCGATATTAATATAGTAACCGAAATTGGTCTTGGTCCTCACAATCGGAGACTTGTCATCACATGTACTCGGCGAGTAGGTGGCCACCCTCCTGGCATGAGTTGGGCAGCCGGCTGTGGTCCCTGGCCCCAAATCTCCATATCTCTCATCAGTTCACAGAGCCCTACATCCACAGTGAGATGCAAGTGGTTCATGAGAGACAATAAATATTGGTTAAGTAATTGCATGGAAGGAAGGAAGGAAGGGAGGGGAGGGGAGGAGGGGAGGAGGGGAGGGGAGGGAGGATATTAGCTTCTCTGCTTAGAGAGGAGAGGGGAAAGCTCACCAAGGTACTGGCAACCTGGAGGCGTGGTGCTAGGAGGTAACAAATTGCCTAGAAAAAAGGATCTGGATGTACAAAGCAAACTTTTTAGTACATCATATATATAATGTTGCCTCAGGTTGACCTAGCTATACTCTGAATCTGAGTGACCAATTTCCCAGGTGGAGCGCATGAGTGTGACCATGAAATCGCCTTACGTTTTCAGACTTTCTATTCACATTGGCTTTATCTGACTCCTTCAACTCCAGCACCTTGCACCAGGTGGTACTTGGGCCCTGTACCATCCTCCCTGTGGCTTCCTCTCTGATCGCTTTGCTTCTGGTTCCTTGTCTCTTTTTCTCCTTTGTTTCAGAGCTTCTAGTCTTCGCCTCGGCCATGCCCCCCGCTGTCTCAGCAGAGAATTCATTGGTCATCTAATCAAACCAGAGAGTAGTCCCCACCCCCTCAGCCTCTCTCCTAACGATTTATGGATCTTAGGAGAGCTTTTTTGTCAGCGATGGTAAAGTTTCTGAAGCTTCCTTTACCCCTGCTATTGTCCGTGGGCAGAGCTCTGAGCCGGCGTCTGTGGAACCGTTGGAGGAGGGAGGAGGTACGGTCCCACCTGTCAACAGGCTCATGTGGCAGTTTGATTTGCAATTTATTTCCTCTGAGACTTCCGTGGCAACCACGCGCTACAACTACAAAGTGTTATCAGAACTGCTACTGTGGCTGCTGATTCAATCCTGCGGAAGAATCAGATGTGGGCTGTGAGAATTTACTTTCCGAGAACATCACAACATCTGTTGTTGGGGAAGGGGGCGGGTCCACATTTCCTGGCATGGCAAATAATTAGAAGTTTATTTGAATTGACACCAAAACTGTTAGGTCTGTAATATATCCAAATGAAATCCAGATCAAACTGGCTTTACTTTAGTGGGCTCAGTCTCCACATTCTCTTTAATTTCTCTGCTATAGCTACTATATAGATGGTTTCCATTTTTCTTCAGTTGTGTAGCGTTTTAGCAAATAATTCTCGTTTCTCTCAATAGTATTGAGCAGAAGGGGGAAGGTCAGGAAACGTGAAGTGCCCCCATGAACAGGCTTTCTCACATAGACGTCCAGCCAGCCGGAAGACACGAGCGAGAAGGACGAAGCCCGTTCATGGGAGATGTGTCTCTTTCAGATTGCTGGCATCATCTCAGCTGGGATAGTGATGGTCGCCATTGTTGCCCTGGGGAAGCTGCTGGAACCCTTGCAGAAGGTATACCCCTGCTTCTCGGCACACTGATTGCCTAATTTCCCTTCCTTGCTCAACCACTGGAGAAATACAGATTTAAAAACCATCACACGGAAAGCCATTCCCCTGAATAACACAGCCTTCCCCATCTTTCTTGGCAGTCGGTCTTGGCAGCTGTTGTAATTGCCAACCTGAAAGGGATGTTTATGCAGGTGTGTGACGTTCCTCGTCTGTGGAGGCAGAATAAGACTGACGCTGTAAGTCACCTAGCACTCATTTTTCCCTGAAATAAGATTTGATCCTTATTTGCTTCCTGCCGTATCATTGTGTCCCCTTATCTCCTGAGTCTTAAGCACTTTTTGGGAAGTCCAGAGCAGAAATTAGAATTGTGTGGACAAGCCAAAGCTGTGAAGTCTGCCACCTGAACTGCATTTTGTGGAGGTCCCGTATCTCTGGGAAGAGGCATTTCCAGCAAGAATTCCATAGGAGCTCACTCATATACCCCTGGCCTTCTAAAGCAAACAAACAGCCCTCTAAATTTAGGATAAACAAAACAAAACACAAAACAAAGCAAAAACAAAAAACCAAACTACAAAAACCCATGCTGGTTATAATTCTGACCAAAGTAACCGTCACAACTGTTCTGAGGAAGCGCAAAAACTAGAAGCTAAATTCTCTAGAGTTCTGCTCTAATTTAAAGCAGAATAGATAAAAAGAACGAGAAAACTTCCTATATGTTGATATGGGGAGATCTACAAGACAAATTAAGTAAAAAAGAGACCAGTTCAGAATAGAATAGTGCGTATACACACTAAGAGATGGAAAAGTAAAATAAGCTTTGTAGTAATATTTGCTTGTATTTGCAAAAAGAAATGCTGGTGAGAAGTGCACACTGTGTACACATGCACACACACACACAGAAATAAAAGAGGGCACTGAGTTGGGATAAAGGATGGGAATGAGTAGAAAGGGGAGAGGGTTGCAAGCAAGATTTTTCCCTGCACACCTTTTTTTATTAATTCCATTTTGAACCATGTTAATATATTACCCAATCAAAACTTAAATTAAGAAATATTTAAATGAGACAGTTGGTCCTTATTGGGAAGGCCAATTTCCACTTCCACTTATGTGAAATGAAGTCAGAATATTTTAAAAAGCAGTAATTTGTTTGTGGACAACTGATCTTATTATTTTTACAGGTGATTGCTCACCTGATGGTACCTGATGAAATAGTATAACTCTTTTCATTTCCATTTTTCCCTAGGTTATCTGGGTGTTTACGTGCGTAGCATCCATCATTCTGGGGCTGGACCTTGGTTTACTAGCTGGCCTTGTATTTGGATTACTGACCGTGGTCCTGAGAATTCAGTTGTGAGTAAAATAAGACCTATAAACAGGCCAACACACCCTGAGATTTCTTATAACATCTTGATGAATATAGTAAAAGCACCCTCTTTCATAATAGTTACTATAAGTTGAGTGTGTCTGTGAATTAAGCACATGGTGCTTTACACACGTATTTTAATCTTCAAAATGAATCCTGTGAATAGCTTTCATTATTCTCATTCTACAGGTAAGAAAATTGAAGCTCAGAAAGGTTAAGAACCGTCCCCAAGATCACACAGCTAATTAAGTGTCAGAGCCAGGATTTGAACCCAGGTGTATTGCACCCCAAATCTGTGTGCCTAGTCACATGCTCAACTGCTGTGCTCTCCTTTGTGTCGTGATACAACCAAAAGACACATGATTCCGTGAAAGGCTGAGCTGGCTTTGCAGATTCTTCTGTGAATGAGATGAGATCTATGAGGCACTGGGCCCAAGGTTTGGGACGAGATAGCTGCAAACATATTATAGCTTATTTTCTTTTGAAGCTAGTGATGCAGACGTTGTGTAACGCAGTACATGAGACTTTCAAACAGCTGACTGGAGCCAAAATTCATTCAAAACTGCCAAATAAGGCATGGATCCAGTAAGCCACACAATCACGTGAAGTAGACGCAGTTAGATGGTATGCAGATTGAAAGCAGCAAAGACACCATTTAAAGCCACAGAAATGGTCAGTGAGGGAACCTGGAGGGGTGTGTTTTTTGCTGGTTTTGTTCTCACTCTTGAGAGGATTCTGGTATGTGCCCTTCTGGGTCTAGGAAACTGTCTGAACAGCGAGGGAAACAGAACTTCTCTTCCTCCTCAAACTTCTGTTAGCTTTCCAGACTCTGGCCCCTCCTCTGTCTGTGCTTTGGGCCATGAAGGAATCAGAACCCCAGAACAGCATCAGCATGGACATCTTCAGCTTAGAATAAGCTTTTCCCGTTCCACCAACCAGTCCTCCGCTCCCTCCTTCCCGACCCTGGCGTGTTGGAGCCCACCCCACATGCTTGTGTTTACTGCCTCAGCACCCTTAAATGGATGCCCCAGGGCCCAGAGGAGTTCACAGGCTCCCAAGTGGCCAATTTGCTGCTGGGTAGTAACTCCGAGAGTGTTGATGGAAGATGCCGCCTCTCGTGCTCTGTCTGGCTCAGTGTTTAGTTTTCTTGTGCGGGTGTGGTTGGGACAGAAGCGTTTTGTAGAGAGAGACTACATAGCTTATGAGCTTTAGGTTAAAGCCCAGTGCGGCACAGTGAGCTGAGGAGAAACCGGCGGCACATTTTAGCTGCTGATTTGGTAACTGGGGTCTTAGCCAATAAAAAGCAGAATCCTCCACAGCAGTTGATTTCCAGTAATTATAAGGCTGATCCAGAGAGCACCCGGCTGAGAGTACCCCAAACAGACGCTCTTTCCTCAGGAACTGTTGTTAGCATATGTCCCTTGTCACACTTGAAGAATCATGGAATTTATTTGATGGCATCAGGAACAGGAAATCAATAGTCTGGTTGATGGGAAGGACTTATTTCTGGTCCCTCCCAGGCTCCTATTTCTATGAAATGAGTCTAACTGGATCACTGCAGACTCTCCAGACTTCGTCAGAAATTTGCCACAACCTGCAAGTAGGTTCCAGGCGCTGTGCTAGGCACTGAAGACCCATGGGGTAAAAACAGAGGCTGGCCTGGCCCTGACCTCCAGGGCCTTTCGGTCTTCTCTGAACCTCAGTTTACCCATCAATAAAAATGAGGCTAATACTGCTGCCCTTTCAGGGTTATGATAGGGCTTAAATAAGAGTTAACATGTGTGAAAGCTCTTTGCTTATCCTATAAAGTGTTCCGGTTGTGAGAGTACGACGCTCATTATTTCTCTCAGCCATCAGAAAAAAGCCACAGTTCCTCTTTCTCCCCCAGTTCCACACAAACACCAGCTGTTCATTTCAGAGTTAGCTACAGGGAAATGTCAGCTGCAATCAAGAGAGAGTCCAAAAACGCCAGAATGAGGGGCTCTTTAGTCTCTGTTATTTCTTCTAACTTTTTATTCCAAAATATGCCTGTTCCAAAAAATCTTGACCTTAATTTTTCTTCTTTTAGTCCTTCATGGAGTAGCCTTGGAATCATCCCCACCACAGACATCTACAAAAGTACCAAGAATTACAAAAATGTGAGTGACTTTCAGAGGCGTTTGCTGGACTCGGGTTTGCTAGCCTGGATTTTCAGGTGTCACATATTTCTCTCTTAGCATGTTAGGGACAAGTCAGCCAAAGGGGGAGCCTTCTGTCTCTTGGGAATGTCCAGAAGTCCACTGGGGGTGTCCTGAAAACTTTTGACCCAATGTGCCCTCTGATAGCCATGGCTTACATGAATTTTGTCCATGCTAGTTGAATGTTATTTTAATATCTAACCATGGTAAGAGAAATTCTTAAAAATAGGCAATCATTATTTCCAGAAGTTGAATCAAAATTCTATTTCTCTGGGTGAAGGGAGTCAAAAGGTACAAACTTCTAGTTATAAAATAAATAAGTCACGGGAATGCAAAGTACAGCATGGTGACTATAGTTAACAGTACTGTGTTGCATGTTTAAAAGTTGCTAAGAGAGTAGATTTTAAACATTCTCATCACAAGAAAAACATTTTCTAACTATGTATGGTGACGGATGTTAACTAGACTTATTGTGGTGACCATTTTGCAATATGTATTTACAAATATTGAATCATTGTGTTGTACACCTGAAACTAATATGTTATGTCAATTATACCTCAATAAAAAAATGGCAAAAGCCTCTGGGACCTCTAGAACAAAATAAAACATATCAACATATGTGTATTGAGACTCCCAAGAGGAGAAAAGAGAAAAAAAATAACAGACACAATATTTGAGTAAATATCAAAATTTCCCAAATTTGATGAAAAACATGACATACAAATCCAAAAGGCCCACTTAGCCCAATTAGAGTTGACACAAAGATCCACACCTAGACACGTTATAGTAACACTGGTGAAAGCCAAGACATTAAAGAAATTTTTTTTTTAAGATTTTATTTTTCCTTTTTCTCCCAAAGCCCCCCGGTACATAGTTGTGTATTTTAAGCTGTTGGTCCTTCTAGTTGTGGCATGTGGGATGCTGTGTCAGCATGGCTTGATGAGTGGTGCCATGTCCGTGCCCTGGATCCAAACCAGCGAAACCCTGGGCCACCGAAGCAGAGCGTGCAAACTTAACCACTCGGCCATGGGGCCGGCCCCTAAGGAAATTTTTTAAAGCAGCAAGAAGAAAAAAAAATTCTATTTCTCTGCTATGTAATCCTTATCCTCTATGCAACTGTCTGAAATTCCTGCTAAGATTTTCTTCATTTAGTTCTAACAAGAGACTTTCATGTTCTCTGTCATCAAGAACTTTATTTGACATTTTGCTCTATCCTTGAAATTGGAAGAAATAATATATAATACAGGAAGTAAAAAACAAAGAAAATAAACATCCCACTGACGGGCTTGTGTTCCTTGCAAATAACATTGCTTCGTGATCACCAGGGGAAACAAAGATGAAAAAGCAGAGAAAGAAAGTTAGGAAAATACCAATTTAGGAAAAAAATAGTTTTTTTAAAAATGTGAACGCTAGGAGTTTGTAGTCTAATTTTACCTTAACATTAAAACAATGTTGGGGGTCCGGCCCAGTGGTGCAGTGGTTAAGTTTGCACGTTCTGCTTCGGTGGCCTGGGGTTTGCCGGTTCGGATCCCAGGTGCGGACATGGCACCACTTGGCAAGCCACACTGTGGTAGGCATCCCACATATAAAGTAGAGGAGGATGGGCACAGATGTTAGCTCAGGGCCAGTCTTCCTCAGCAAAAAGAGGAGGATTGGCAGCGGATGTTAGCTCAGGGCTACTCTTCCTCAAAAAACAACAACAATAACAACAACACAATGTTAGACACAGCATCTGGAATTCTAGTAGCTGCTACTTGATTTATTTCCACAGTCTTTCTCAGTTACGTTGAGCCAAGTGCCATCAAGAGCTGAACATGATTCTAGAGAATCTTCTGGCTCTGGGGCAGGCAACTCTAGGCTGAGTTTGGGAGTTCTGAGTTTGAGGCTCCGGCTTGTGGAGACCTGACCCAAGCCATTGGGCCTCCAAGGGTCTCAATTTTCTCATCTGAAGGGGCTGGACTAAAATTGCTAGGATTCCCAAAGACCAGAAAAGCCTGTGATTCTGTGGGTTCCACTTTTGGTCTGGCCACTGAGTGTCAGGGTAAGACTAAATAAATGATACCATAGACCTTAGTTTCTGCAAATCCTCTTGATTTTGCTACTTTTTTTTTCTATTTTAAAAGAATTTTGGAAAAATAAAAGAGCCAGTGGTATGAACTTCAGGCAAATCATGTCACCGTTCTGAGCCTCAGTTTCTTCATCTGGAAATCAGAGGGTTGAGTCATTGCTTTCTAAGGCCCTTTCTAACTTGACCTTCCACGGGACCGTGGAGGCCCAGGAGTTTGGGTGACCCATTGCCTCCCAATGGGATGAAGCCCCTGTCTAGTGGAAGTTGAGTGCTGCTGCCCAGCTCCCATGAGCAATTCTAACTCAGCTCCTAGCTGAACAGCCAGAAATTGAATTGAGTATTTGAAGCCTGAAATTATTTAACTTCCAATTTTTTTTTTAATGCTAGGTTGAAGAACCTGAAGGAGTGAAGATTCTTAGATTCTCTAGTCCTATTTTTTACGGCAACGTTGATGGTTTTAAAAAATGTATCAAGTCCACAGTAAGTATTTTATCCCTCAAAGTTTGGTTTCTAACCTCCCTTGAGACTTCATTCATTCTACAGGTAATTATTGGGCTCAAACTGGGCATAAGGCCTTACACCCTGTTCCCTTTGTACAGGGCGTTAAGAAGTGTAACATAACATCCTTGCCCTCAACTTATAACCTATTTAGTGAGAGGAAAGAAACAACAATAGCACATACGGTAAAATCCAGGTAGCAATAACTATGCTGTACAAGAAACTCTAACGTTGTCTCCAGGCAAAATTTGAGCAAGTTCCCAATAAGTAGTATAGACAGTGTGAAGGGTTTCCAGAAGGGAGCCATCCATGTTGGGTGGACTGATCAGGCTTTGAGTGACAGTTGGGCAGAAGGAAGGAGGTTGTCAGGGTTTGGGGAACGACGTGAGCTGAGAGGAAAAGGAGGGGCCATGTATTAGAAGAAGGGTTGTCCAGTTGGAGTAAAGGGTGAAAAGTACTAAGTGGAATATGCAAGCAGGAAATTCTGGTCCTGAATTCCATGCTGTGGTTCAAGGTTGGGGTTTGCCTCTAGCTAAGTGTTTTCCTACGTGAGTTCCAGGGCAAACTGGTTCAGAGGAATGTTCACAGATTTTGCAATAACAGAAAGGCTCTATGATGTCAAGGAAATTCAAAAACCACAGACTTAAAGCTAAAGCGGTTGTTTTTTGCTGTTTGGTTTTTTACTGTCTCGGAGTCTTTAATATGCTACTGTCTTCTCTGAGTCTCTGAGCGGGAGGGGCCGGGTGGCCTGGTGGAGATTCCATCCGATCTCAGAATTTGGTTTTTAGGAGGGTGTCTCAAGGAATAATACCATTTGAGAAATAACCTTTACAGATAATAATTGCCATTAATAAGCATTAGGAACCACACGTTTTAAGTAACTTGACATTTGTTTCCAAAGGTTGGATTTGATGCCATTAGAGTGTATAACAAGAGGATGAAAGCATTGAGGAAAATACGGAAACTCATCCAAAAAGGGCAATTAAGAGCAACAAAGGTGAGGCAACATCTTTCTCTCCCTTCTTAAATTCTTTTCTCTCTCAGACCAAAACAAAAGCATTTTTCTTCCTAGAGAACCTCAAAGTTTGGGCTGAGTTCATCCCCTCAATGTTTTCCTTACCAAGGAACAGGGTGTGGGGACTTCTATGTAATTTGAAATAAATCGTTGAAAGACATTCCAAATCATTGGCAAGTAAGTTGGTAGTGTTTTCTTTGTTTAGAATGGCATTATAAGCAATGCTGGTTCAGCAAATAGTGCTTTCGAGCCTGATGAAGATATTGGAGATCCAGAGGAACTTGATGTCCCAACCAAAGAAATTGAGATTCGAGTGGATTGGAACTCTGAGCTTCCTGTCAAAGTGAATGTTCCCAAAGTGCCAATCCATAGCCTCGTGCTTGATTGTGGAGCCATCTCTTTCTTGGATGTTGTTGGCGTGAGATCGTTGAGAGTGGTAAGCTTTCAGAAGTTTGAATTATAGATGCGCAATTTGGCAATAGTAAAATTATATGGGTTGCCCAGTCTTGCAAAAGGGCAACTGATTGCATGGGCTCTGTAACTTTTCTAGGGGAATGCTTTTGTAATACAGTGTAATATTTTAAAGCATAGGCTATGGAGCCAGACTACCTGGGGTTGAATCCTGGCTTTACCACTTACCAGCAGCATGACTAGCGGCAAGTTGCCTAATCTGTCTGTACCTCAATTTCTTCATCTGTAATATGACGATAATGATGGTACCAACTTCATGGGGTTGCATGAGGATTAAATACATATATCGTTTAGAAGAGTGTCTCATATACAGTCACCCCTCAGTGAATATTAACATTTATTACGTTTTATTTTCCCGAGAAGACATAGGAAATGGAACACAAAAAGAAGAAAAATGGGCAAAAGTTTATGTTAAGTATTATGTTTTAATATGTTTATGTTTATATATCAGAATGAGGAGCATCAGGTACACGGCAGGACTGTAAAAATCAGGCATCGCTAGAGTTTAGAGCAGGAAGCGGGAGAGGCATCAGGGAAGTCTACGAGCTGAAGAGCATGCAGAACAGAAACATTTCATGATATCAGAAACCAGTTGTGCAAGCTCAAGCTCATCGATTCTTTCAACAAATAGATGAGAAATGCCTAATAGGTGCCAAGCACTTGGCCAGGTGCAAGAGGCATAGTCCCTACCCTCATGGGACCAAGCAGATTAGGAGGGAAGGCAAACATCACTGTAATCTTTTAAACTACAACTGTACTAAGTGCACCAAAGCAGACTAACTAGGGCGTCAACTTGACCGGGAGTGTGAAGTTTAGGTGAAGCTTCAGGTAGGTATCAAGAGGGTCAGGCAGAGAAGCAAGCAGGTTGCAGGCACCAGCAATCAGATAATATGAAACGGACCCCAGCTGAGGTTCACCTTAGCTGGGGCTTCTTGGCTACCTCCGCAAGGGCAGGAAATGATTCCAGGGTGTGGGTACTAGGCAGGTAAGGTGGAAAAGTGATTATACTTGACAAAAGAGTGTGAGAATATGCTTGACACGTTCTGTTCCAGTTCTCTTAGCCAACCTGTTACCAGCTTGTTCCAGAACATACTCTTGTTCTTCATCGTGCATTTCACTCCAGGCGTTGGCTCAGATCCACTGTAGATTGTGTTGGCCAAAGTGTTTAATGAATTACTTTTGGGGAGAGTCTTAACATATTTAATGCCAGAATATTTTCCACACCTACCAAATAGTTGCTTTCAAATGCTATAATGATGATCATGAAAACTCTAAACTTTATAATTGCATATAGGTCTTGATCGCACCCCAGAAATTTCAAGATCTGTTTTATTATTGCCCATAGGTCTTGTATCTTGGTTTTGTTTAATTAAACTATTTATTTTTGTGAGGAAGATTTGCCCTGAGCTAACATCTGTGCCAGTCTTCCTCTATTTTTGGTACGTGGGACACCTCCACAGTGTGCTTGGTGAGTGGCGTAGGTCTGTGCCCAGGATCCGAACCCATGAATCTGGGCCGCTGAAGCGGAGCACATGGATCTTTAACCACTCTGTTATGGGGTTGGGCCCTAATTAAACTTCCTTTTGCAATAATTGTAGATTCCCATGAAGTTGTAAGACATAAAACAGAGAGATCCTCTGTAACCCTTAACCCAGTTTCTCCCAATGACAAGATCTTACAAAACTATAGCACAAAATCACAATCAGGATATTGACACTGATACAGTCAAAATCCAGAGGCCTTGGTTTTTAGGTCAGTTTTTACATTTGGAACCCAGTGGCCACATATCCACACCCATGTGTTTTCCACTCAAAGATAGAAACTCGCACTCTTGTTCCAATCAGCAGGGGCTACATTAGGAAGCCTCCTCTACTCCCTTCTTTCCTTCCTTCCGCAGATGTTTATTGAGCACACCTGTGCTGTTGAGCGCTCCGCTATTCAGCACCGGATGTTGCCACCTCTTGAGTCTTTACATCCCTAATCACACCATCACTGGAGGTTGAAAACTTCTATGGTTTTCCCATAATGAACTTTTCCTAAAGTCCTGATTAACCACGAAAGGGTTGAAATTTCTCCTGAGCAAGTAATTGATTGCTACTGAATTATGGGCAGATAAAGTTGATCATTGTTACAAATTCTCCTTTCTAAAATTTTAGGTTGTCAAAGAATTCCAAAGAATTGATGTAAATGTGTACTTTGCGTCACTTCAAGGTAAATGCATATACCTATCTATCTATCTATAGGAATTTCCTCTAGGCCCTTTTTCCTACCTAGGAATGTGGGTACACGATACCCAAAGGCCTTTTTTCTTTTTTTTACAAGATTTTATTTTTCCTTTTTCTCCCCAAAGCCCTCTGGTACATAGTTGTATATTTTTAGTTGTTGGTCTTTCTAGTTGTGGCATGTGGGATGCCGCCTCAGCATGGCCTGATGAGCAGTGCCATGTCCGTGCCCAGGATCCGAACCAGCAAAACCCTGGGCCACTGCAGTGGAGCGCATGAACTTCACTACTTGGCCACAGGGCCAGCCCCAAAGGCCTTTTTTCAAAAAACTGTTTTTTATTGTGGTAAAAGATGTATAACATAAGATTTGCCATTTTAGTAACATTCAAGTATACAATGAATTCAGTGGCATTAAGCACATTCACTTCTTGTGCCACTGTCACAACCATCTATGTATTTTCAAAATTTTTCATCACCCCAAACAGAAACTCTATCCATTAAGCAATCACTCTGAGGGCCCTTTTGGACCTAGAAAGATATTACTTCCAATTTGCGCCATAGAGATGGTAATGCATGGAAACCTAAGTCCTGACAGTGGTGCAGGATCAATGGGGGAAAAATGACCATGGAGACAGCAGAGCTAGAGATGACCTAGATCCCTTAGAACTAGAGGATGCTGCAAGGCATGAGTCTGTGTCTACGGATGAGTGTGTGTATGTATGTAGGAAAATATTAGTGCTTAAGCTGAGTTCTCTAGAAGCAGAGCCTGAGAGAAAGATTCTTGCCCAAGTGGTTTATTGAGAGGCTACACTCTGAGAAAATTCCTGAAGGAGCGAGGGGAGCAGGATAGGGCAAGGCAAGAAGCTGGACAAAGACATGGTTTCAGAAGTCTACTTTAGCCTGATTCCACAGGGCGTACACACAGAGGCTTACCTCTCCTAGAGGCAAGGGGGCTGGCCTTTCTACCCCCATATCAGTTGGTCAGTGGCTACAGGCCACCCAAGGGTGGGGGTGGAACCTCCTAGGCCTTTCAGCTGAGGCAGCTCCTATTGGCCAAGGAAAGTTCTCCAGAGAAGGGCACAGCTGTGAACCATCAGCAGCCAGGCTCAGAGCAGCTGGAGTGTGGGTACAATGGCAAAAGGGACCTGGTCAGGAACCAAGGCCATGTGCTGGACCAGTTACAATATAACCATTCCATGTGCTCCTGGAAAAGAAACTCAGTCAGCTTAGAGCAGAGTCACATTTTGGAAATGAGAAAAAAGAATTAAAAGGAGGAACTACAAAACGTAGAATTGACTGATGTTACAAAAATGTCTTTTCCCAGAGACTAACTAAACATTATCTCTTTCTTTTGAAGATCATGTGATAGAAAAGCTGGAGAAATGTGGTTTCTTTAGTGATAACATTAGAAAGGACATATTCTTTTTGACTGTCCACGATGCTGTCCTCCATCTACAGAACCAGGTGAAATCGCGAGAGGGTCAAGATTCCATTTTAGAAATGGTAAACATTTAACCTTTCTACATATGTATCGTTCCTAAACTGTCATGATTTCTGTAAATGGCAAAAATTCCACAAATCTAGGTTTGGATCCCAGCCTGGTGGGGTTTTAAGCCATCTGCTTAACTTCTCAGAGCCTCAGTTTTCTCATCAGTAAAATGGGAATAAAAACATTTACCTTGCTGGGTAGACAGGAAGACTAAATATGATAGATTCCAGGAAAGTGCTGGGTTCTAGTACCTGGAACATATCAGTCCTACAATGTGTGCATTTACTAATAAGAATAGGCATTAGCTGTAGTGCTTTTCTAGAATATAGGCACTGAATCTCGGATCTTCTGTGATTTGTATATACAAATGCAACTTAAATTCTCAACCATCTGGAAACTTTTGATTATAAATGCCTTTAAATGGGGTCCATTAGGTTGTAAGTGATCTTTGAAAAAGAAAAAAAAAAATGAAAAGCCATGAATCAGCCCAGAGTTAATTATTCCCCACAAAATAGAATAGACACTGATTTCCCATGGGCCTCCTTATTTTGTCAATTCTCCTGTCGAATACTCAGGAGAGTTGTGCACTCTGGTCTGGGCCATTGGGCCGGGCCTACTGGTGGACCTGGTACCAGAACCGTATCTCTCATGGACCCTCTTGCAGGGAATTTGGGAAACTAAAACAAATACCCATAAAAATAACAATAATAATTATTCCAGGGACACAGTCTACTATATTTTAAATTGCTTCCCATTTTGTCTAAAATTAGGTTAAGTAGATTCTTACTCTAGATTGCAAGTTAATGTTGGAAGTAAAACTAATTTAGAAAACAATAGCATATTATTCTTTTCAGCTGTTGTTAGTGGAGAAATTGTTTTGCTTAATGCTGCTGGAGAAAATACTCGTCCCAAATACCAAGATGTGGATCTTAAATACAAATAAGGAAAAAAAGGAAAGTAGTAAAATCACAAATCTAAAAAAAAGCTACAACAAGACGCTCATCTTTGAAAACTCATAAACTTTTTCTATCTAGTCTAAAATTCTCTAACCCATAGTTAACAACAACAAAGTGGGGTCATATAAAGAATGTAAAAAAGATTCCGTATTAAAAGCAAAATAGAACCAAGGTGTCAAGTTCTCTCTCAACATGAAAACAGTTATTTGTTATCCCATTCAACTTGGGACTGTTTATTGTCATCGTTCACAAGCCCCTCACTGGGCATTCACTGCACACTCAATGCTGTGTGAGTGCTCTTGGCTGAGCCATTGAAATAAAAACACTATCGACTGTTGAATCAGTTAGGCAGACGGGCTGACTCGTCAAGAGGCATACACTTCAGAGACTGGGGAAGAGAGCTGAAAAGGAGGTTAGACAATGCAGAACTAGACCAGTTCACACTTGAATGTGAATAAATGGTAAAGAGAAAAATTCTAAGTGGGAAATATAAAAGGATAAGAAAGCTGAAAAGGATTTTGAAGCATGGAAAGTCTGGTAAAGCCTCAGTTCATTTTCAGTGGGGTATCAGGTGGGTTGATGTTATTATATTTCCAATAAATATTCTCCTTTTTCTCTTTGTCAAGATCACGCTTATCCAAGACTGTAAAGATCCTCTTGAATTAATGGAAGCAGAGCTGATTGAAGAAGAACTTGATGTCCAGAATGAGGTATGATCATTATTTTCCTTCAAAGAAAATAATTTGGATTAAATCTTGAATAGATAGAATAATACAGATGGTGACTATGTCTGATAAAAACTATTCAGGGAAAATAATTTCTAAGAAATACCAAAAAGATGGCTTCATAGACAGAAGAAAATGGAAAACAAGAATTCTCCCTTGAAGACATTAAGTACTTGGGGACCTTTTGCCCCAGGCGTATCGGCATGATCAGCAACTGGAAGCAGCCAACATGCTGGTCCTGATTTTATACCCAAGCCTCCACATACTTTCTCTTCCAGAGACACAAGGCCAGTGGGATGGGTGAAAGGTGCATAGATGGAATTTCTAAGCCAGGAGTTTCGTAAGCTTCGGGCATAGTATGTGAACGACAGCAACCTCATGACCTTTCTTCCTCTGACTAATAATGGCTTAAAAAAGACACTCCCTTTATTTGAGACGGATTCTAGGTATTTCTGATGCTTTTGGGGGCCTCAGACCATTCCTAAGAAACTTGACTGAAACTTGTAGTATCTGAGTGAACTCTGTGGCTCAACCTTTGAGTAAAATGGGACTAACAAAAGAAGATCGTAGAGTTTTAAAGTGGAAAGACATCTTAGAAATCAAGCGGTCCCACATCCCAGCACATGCAGAAATCTCTCCTCCACCATCCCTAAGGACGTTCACTCAGCTTTTGCGTAAATATTTCCAGACAATGGCAACTAGTAGCTTTTCAAAGGAGTTTGTTGCATGGTTGAAAGTCTCTGAGGGTTAGCTGTGCTTAAAAAACTAGATCCAGGGCTGGCCCCGTGGCCGAGTGGTTAAGTTCGCGCGCTCTGCTGCAGGCGGCCCAGTGTTTCGTCAGTTCGAATCCTGGGCGCGGACATGGCACTGCTCATCAGACCACGCTGAGGCAGCGTCCCACATGCTACAACTAGAAGAACCCACGACGGAGAATACACAACTATGTACCGGGGGGCTTGGGGGAGAAAAAGGAAAAAATAAAATCTTAAAAAAAAAAAAAAAAAAAAAAAAAACTAGATCCAGCCTTTGTCTACCACCACCCAGCGGATGGAGATCTGCCTTCACCGGCAAGACAAACCCTCTCACTGAACAGCTCTTAAATATCTGCCTCCGCCAGAGTCTACTCCGGGCTAGACTCTTTCAGTTCCCTTTATTGTTCCTCATAGATACAAAATCTGTCAATGCTTCTCTGGCCAGGCAGAGGTCACGAAACTCCAGAAGGGGTCAGGCCAGCGTGGAGATGACGCAACCATGACCTACCTTGATCTCATCAAGTTACTTCTATTACTGCAACTTAAAAATGTGCTTATTTTCATAATAGCTACGACAAAATCTTTGCTCCTATTGAGCGGGAGTCAACTAAAGTCTTGGGCATTTTCGCACAAACTATGGTTCAGCTGGTCTCCCCATTTATACTGATGTAACTGGGTTTGACCCTAATGCAGGACTACACAGATTTCTGCTGGGTTTGATCTTGTTGGTTCTGGTTTGTTGACGTAGTTTTGAATTCTGAATCTATCATCCAGCATATTAACCACCCACCCCCTCTGGTGTCATATGCAAATCTGATAAGCACGCCTTCTCTGCCTTATTCCGGGTCCTGATAAAAATGTGGAAATGAATAACATTCAGACCCCTATGGTAAAAGCAGGCAGTGAGGATGACAAGCAGAGAAGATTTTTGTGGAGAAAACACATTATTAGAGCGAAAATCAGAAGTCCTGCATCTTAGCCCACCAGCTTAGTGAGCCCAGGAACGTCATTATTGAGCCGTAAAGTCTTTCCAGTTTAATCGTTTGTGATTACGGTTTTAGGGCTGACTTAGTTGCATAAAAACATATTTCAAAATTGGAACTTAAGAAGTTGCCATCTTATGGAAGTATTTGTGACTGCCACCTGACAGGCCCCTTCAGGCAGGGTTTCTGTAGATAGGGAAGCAGTACCGCGAAGTGGGTCTAGTGTAAGGGCTGAAGAACCAGGCAGACTTGAGTGCTAGCCCTGATTCTGCTTCTTCTGCCTGTGTAGCCCAGCGCAGGTTACTCATCCTGTCTTCATTTTAGTTTCTTCACATAAAATAGAAATAATATTTCAGAGAATCGTGAAACTTAAAGGGTACATGTAAAGTAATAAGAATAGAGTGTTGTAGATAGTAAATGCTCAATAAATAGCAATTATTGCTTTAATTTTTTTTGGTGAGGAAGATTGGCCCTGAGCTAACATCTGTTGACTATCTTCCTCTTTTTTTTTTTTCTCCCCAAAGCTCCAGTACACGGTTGTATATCCTAGTTGTAGGTCATTCCAGTTCTTCTGTGTGGGATGCCACCACAGCATGGCTTGATGAGCAGTGATAGGTCTGCAGCCAGGATCCAAACTGGCAAACCCTGGGCCACCAAAGCAGAGTATGCAAACTTAAGCACCGGGTCTTGGGGCCAGCCCCCATAATTATTTCTTTTAAATAAATCCAACTGAAGTATGATGAGGTACAAAATTGAGTTTCCCCCCTCCTTTTATTGTGATGATATACACCTAAGATGAGTAAACATAAGCAACCAACACTATCCAGACATATTTGTAAGAAAGCTAATGTAGACGAGGAGAATTCAGTGGTATCGACACTGTTTCCGCTTTGCTTCCACAGGCTATGCGTAGACTTGCTTCCTGAAACTGGGCTCAGAAGGTCGCCGTGAGCAAGGACTGCAAGGAAAATCTAGCCACCAGTGGAATTCTATGCAAACATTTTCTGCCTTGATTATTTCTTTGGACTTGAAACACTCACTCTTTTTCTATTGGATTTTTAAAAATCTTTACTTTTTTAACCTCTTAGCCATTGAAAGAGAAGCACTAAGATTGTTTCTAGGCTTTATTTATAAAATAAATAGCTTACCTCTGAGATGTGCAAAATGAGAATTATCCAGGCGACTGAGCCATGTCCAGCATCTGCTAATGTGATGCTCTGTTCCTCCAAGACAGATGTGTTAACAGTGCTCACATGGGTACTGCTGCCTCCGTTCAGCTGGGGTAAGTGTGACCCAACAGCCTCCGTGGGCAGGAATGATTATCCTAAAGAAAAATCCATTTCGGACTGGCCTTGATACCCACCAGCTGCACTGAGCACAGTGTAAGGTCACATTGAGTTAATGCTGAAATACGATTGTTAATGCATTTACCAATAAATGCCTTCAAAAATCACTTTTGGTAAATACATCAAAAAAGCTTTTAAAATGCAAATTTAGTTAGTACTTAATAAGGAATGTTATTATATGTAACCGGAGTGCAGAATCAAAAAAACGGTTCACTTAAAAGCTACAGAACTGGGCGGATATGTTTTAGAAACACTGATTCAGGGAAGTGAAGCAATAATAAGATTATCGTGGCTTATAGAAATAATTTTTCAATAAGATAATCATGGATCACAATTAAGATCAAATAAAATATATGACAGACTATCTCTAGCTTAAAAATTCAGTTTTAATTTATCTTAGTTTATAGAAATGATCATTGTGTAGAGATATATTTAAGTACGGTCTATTTAAAATCTAACACGAAAATTGTGTTATTTTGAACAAAAAACAACTCTGATATGTTTATGAAACTGTGGTGATTAAAACGAGTTTATATTTTTCTCTAAAATTTTAGCAGTATATAAAGTGATCCTTAACTGAATTCTGACCACCTTTCAAAAAAATCCAAAAAAGTGTACAGCCTGCATATAAATCTGCTTAAAATGAGTTTTTAAAGACAAAACTTTCTAAATGAACTCAATATTAAAAGCAAAAACTTAGTTTGGAATATAGACATTGAAAATATATGTTTTTAAAAAATCCATATTTTAAGCTAGAAAATATATCTTTTATTTTTGCTTAATCTTTTCTGAGTGCCAACAATATTCCAGGTGTTATATATAATATATAGGCTTTGGTCCTGTGGACTATTCCCATATATTTCACGCCGGAGTGAATGAAGTTATACTTCATTTCTAGAGAAAAATAAATTTTCAGGTCCCCAATTTACCCAATGTCTTGCTTGGCTGAGAATTATATTATCCCTTTGATATGGATGAGTGAAATTCCCAAATGTGTTTGGCTACCTAGGCAGCATGTCTTACTCTGTTTTTCTTCTTAGATACAATCAGAAACAAGGTATCTATTTGTTTTTCTTTTTTTTTGTGAGGAAGATTGGCCCTGAGCTAACATCTGTTGCCAATCTTCCTCTTTGTTCACTTGAGGACGATTGTCACTAAGCTAACATCTGTGCCAATCTTCCTCCACTTTATGTGGGATGCCGACACAGCATGGCCTAATGAGCAGTGCTAGGTCTGTGCCAAGGATCCGAATCTGCGAACCCTGGGCCACCGAAGCGGGGTTCTCGAACTTCTCCCACACCACCAGGCGGCCCTCCAAGGTTTCTATTTCTGAAGGAATATCATCAGTGATCATATCACATTGGTGAACTTAAAGCATCATCATCATCTCCCCCTCTCCCATTCTGCATATTCAAATTTGAGCAAGTTGTAATGCATGTGACGTCACATTCCTTCATGCTCATGGGTTATGCTGTCTTTAATTGACTTAGATTTCTCCTCATGTTGAGTCCAGCATAACCAGGATTATAACGTTATCTGATTTTTACAGAAATATTTGCCTATAATGACAAGAAATCATATCCCTAAAGAGGGAATATAATCGTCTTGCAGAAAATGGATGAATACCTCTGTTCAATAGAGGAAATGTGCACTGCTCATTTTCTTATTAGTTGAAGGAAATGCCGAAGTTACATTTTATAATAAGGCTAGAGTTTTGTAAATCTTGGCTCCATTTGTGACTATGTAAGATCCCAGTCTATTTGACTTGTTTCTCACACACACTCTCGGAATACTGTCTCTTATATGCATTTTGTGTATAGTAAGCATACTTTTAATTCTGTAGTGTCAATGGAAATTTTACTTGAAATTAAAGTTGTCTTTTGTTATGTTTTTAACCTATAAGATTCCAGTGTTGTATATGAATTTCAATAACAAGTGAAGAAAATCAAATCGTGTACATTTGGAAATATTTGCATATTTTTTTATTAAATGTAAATTTGTCTTTGAAATTATTCTGATGTGTTCTTTCTGAACACAACTATTAAATACAATAAAAAATGCTACATTTATCAGTTTGCCATTACTCTTATCAGTCATCATTTTGATGTATTCTTTACGGTTCTGCTTCCATTTTATTTGTGTGCAAGGACTTATAAATGCAATAAACAATGTTACCCACAAATATCTCAGTTAAACCTTGTAATTCTTATCCAAATAGCCCCAGCTTACTTTGTACAATGATTTTTATTATTTTAAGCAGACTTTTCATGCTGGCACAACATACATATCAAAAGGATACAAAACATCATGTACCGCTTGCATAATTTTCACAAAACAAGCACACCAGTGTCGCCAGCACCCAGATCGATAAGCAGAACATAACCACTGCCCCAGAAGCCCTCTCATGCTCCCACCTAGTAATTGCCCCAAGGGGTAATTACTGTCTTGACTTCTAACACTTGTTTTTTGAACTTCATATAAATGGAATCAAACCAGAGTATTTCTTTTTCCCCTTTCTCTTTTCTGTCTTTTTTCACTGCTGTATAGTATTCTGCTGTCTGAATTTGCCACCACTTATTGATACATCCTAATCTTTGCGGACCTTTGTGTCGTTTCCAGTTTCTGGCTTTCATGAATAGTGCTGCTATGAATTCTTGTTCATTGTTTTTGGTGAATATATGCACACAATTCTGTAAAGTATATACCTGGGAGAGGAGTTGCTTGGTCGTCTACAAATGTTCTGCTTCAGTAGATACTGCAGTAGCTACCTAGTATCTACAGCAGACTGTTTGCCAAAGCCATTGCACCAATTTATACTATCAGATGTGAACTATAGTTCCAGTTGCTACACATTTTTGCCAAAATGTAGTTTGTGTGTCTTTTTCATTTGAGCCATTCTTGTGGGTGTGTAGATAACACTGTGGTTTTAATTTGCATTTTGCTGATGACTAAAGTTGAGCACCTTCTCAGATGTTTATTATCATTTAAATATCCTCTTTTGTGAATCATCTGCCCAAGCCATTTGCTTATTTTTCTTTTCAGTCACCTGCCTTTTTCTAATTGTCTTTAAGAGTTTATGTAGTAAGGATACAAATCAATTGTTGGAAAGATGTATTGTAAATATCTTACTCTATTCTGTGGATTGCCTTTTCCCTCTTTTAATCATGTCTTTTGATGAACAGAAGTTCTTAATTTTAATGTAGTCCAATTTATCATTTTTTCCCTTAATGGTTAGCCTTTTTTTTTTTTGGTCTCTAGTTTAAGAAATCTTTGCCTCCCTAAGCTAATGAAGATATTTTCCTACGTTTTCTTCTAAAAACTTTGTTTTACCTCTCACATTTAGATGGACAGTATAACTGGAGTCAATTTTTGTGTAATGTGTGTGGCAAGGAATGGAGAAACATTTTCTTTTGTTCTTGGATGGATATCCCATTGACTGCATCTTTCAAGAAAAACACCATCCTTTCCCTTTCTTCAGTGCACTGTCACTTTCATCATAAATCAGTTGACTGTTTATGTTTGTGTCTGTTTTAGGCCTCTACTCTGTTCCATTGGTCTATTTTTCTGTCCTTGCACCAATACTTTACTTAATTACTATTGTCTTAATTACTCCAGGTTTTTAGTAGCTCCAGATATTTGGAAGTCTGTTCTTTCCTGATCATATATTTTTCTTACTATATATTTATTCCTACTATATACATTTATGATTAGCCCTCTGCATTCCCATACACATTTTAGAGTAGCCTGTCAATTTCTAACAATTATTATTCTTAATACATTTTCCAGAGTTAGCAAAAATTTTCATGAGAGGCCACTGACCCTCAAAAAATTAAATAATGCTTTACATTAAATGAAATAATATATGTTGAAACTCACAAAAATTAATTATGGTTATGTTTTATTAGGTGATACAAAATATAAAAGCAATTTGAGCTTTGTGTTTAAGTTAGAAATATCAATTTCAACTCATCTGTTTCATAAACTTACATGGTGGGATTCCCGGGTTAAGGTCAAGTTGTGACTATTTGGCACTGAGATGTTTCCAGGCACTGCCAGTGATGACCCAGGCTAAAGAGAAGACTCCTTAATGACTGAGGAGGCTCCTGGGAGAGAGACAACTCATTGTAAAGCACGAAGGAGCAGACTTACAGAGCGGAGCCACCAACAAGGCTTAGTTGTTGGCGGATAGTGGTGACTGGGGGTAACATAATGCCCGTCACTCTGGGGGATGTTCCAGAGCCAGACTCACAGACTCATGATGGGTCCTACGAAGAAAAGAAGCTGCAAAAATAGAATCCAAAAGAGCTGCTTTACTGAGATCTCTATAAAAGGATGGGGCAGGTGCAACGCTCTTGGTGGCCACTGTAACAATGTAACTCCAAAGGCAAAGGAAGGCAGTCTGCCCTGGTCTCAGGCGCATCGAGAGCTACGGAGACGCCTGGGGTCTTAACGATGGTGGCCTCCAAGAGTGCACGGAGGGGAGCAGTCCTCGGGAGAATGGACTTTTAAGCAATGCATGTGAGGCACTCTTTGGAACTTCTAGAAATATTTGAGGGGTCCTCTATCTGGGGCTTAGAGCTATGTGAACAGATGAGATGAGAGTCAACAAGTTAGGGCTATTCTCCCTTCGCGTCAGGCTGGGTTGCTCAAGAAAGTTTGGTTTTGTGTAGAATAGAAAACATTTATCATGCAAACAATATAACAAGGGAACAAAAGCCACATGAACTTTAATCAAATGAACTTCAGTTCTATGAAAAAGCCACAAAATGACAAATAGCTAGAAAGAAGAAGAGAGAGAGAAAAATGAAAACAATGAGGGGGGAAGGAGAGGAGGGTCAAAGGGGGAGAGGAGAAAGAGAAAAAGGTAAAAGACCACTGATGAGGAAACTGGCATGAGGGAAGAGAGGGAGGCGAGACGGGGAAATCAACTGAAGACAGATAACAAGGAAGGTGGAGAGAAGAAGAGAGGAGAAACCAGGGAGAAGTCAAAAGGAACGACAAGGGAGAGAATTTAGTAGTGGGAAAAGAAAAGTCAAATAGAGGCTGATTTCAATACGCTCATATCATTTAAGAACTCAGAGAAGACAGCCGCACCCCCTCTCCCACATGCCACACTCTCCTGAATTCTTGGTCCCCCTTACCCGGCTCTGTATTTTCCCCCTTCATAGTTATCACCGTCTAGTATGCTCTATAATTAATTTCTTACTGTTTTCATTTTCTCTCCCTGCCTCCGACCCTATGCTGGACCATAAGCTCCACCAGGGCATGGTTCTTTTTTTTAATTCCTGGACATATCTCAAGTATTAGAAGAGTGAAGAGTGCCAGGCACACCATAGGTGCTGACTCAATGTTGCTGAAAGACTGAGTTAAGCTGCAGCGATGCCGACAAAGGCCAACACGGTTGAGAATGGCAGTCATCTGAGTACGTCAGACACTCAGAGTTCCCTGGGCTCTCCGGCCTGCTCCGACAGTCCGCCACAGCTCACCTGTCTGCCTGTTTTCCCCAGAGTCTCCAGGAAAGGGGCCGGGCATTCACCTGGACGCTCAC